GGCAATTCAAGCGGAAACCGACCGCACCGGCATTTCGGGCTCCCCCGTTGAAGACATTTGTTGGGTCCCCCGTCCATACCCTTTGGGTCCCCGAACAAGAGTGCCATTTAGTGACTCACCCCGCTTGCTGGATAGATGCTAATGTGCTGAACACGTGCAAAACGGATAGGTTCGAGACTGCCAGAATAGCCTACACAAGCCATTGGCAAGCAGGGACAAATGCGATATGGGCAAGAAGTCTGATAGAGCTGTATGATGCAATATCTTGCTGGTGCGAGAGATGCAGGGAATGAGACATGGAATGCCATGCAGCCGCTGCTGGTTTCCTTTCAAGGGACCAAAGCCTGGGTTCATTCCCACATTCCCTACTGAGCACCAGCACGACAAGCTTTTGTTTTTTAACCTTGACGGTTGATTCATACGGCCTGCTTTGTTCTTGATTGCGCATGGGCATCGCTCAAGGAACGTTCGTCTACACATTCCTCACAAATTCTTTTCATATTTGAATGTAGCTTAGATTACCATATCTCTGTTATGCAAAACCTGCTGGCAGGAATGCTCGACCTGTGTTTCCAGACCTGCAAAAAGCGCTCGACGGTGCCAAGGCCTATGACTCGCGACGCCCGGAAGCCTGAAGCCTGCAGGGCACGCGCCTGGGCGGTGAGGCGGCCGCAGCTGGCGGTGGAGTTTTGTTGCCAAAAACAGGGGTCTTTGGCCAACATCAGGCGTTTTGGGAGCTTTGAAATTTCGGGCAAATGGCAAATCCTTGTTGGCAAGTTTCAAGCTTTTGTTTGAAGACTGGGTTGTTGTACATGCATCCCTAATCCCTAGTAGTTTCGCCTGCAGTGATTGCGGGGTGCGGATTAGGGATGCCCCAGCATGTTTTTTGTTCTCCAGGTTTTGCACAGAACACGGTTGGTTCAGGGAAATTAGTTGTTCTAGCAGACGGTCAAGGCATACAAAATGCGGGCAGGTGTTTTGTTGTTGGCCAAGGTTTGTGAGCTGACAGACAAAGGAGGGGGATTTGCAGATGAGTGGAGATGAGAGGTGGAAGATGCGTAGCATATGTTTGGCATTGGCACAGGTTTGTAAGTTGCCAGACGGAGAGGGTTTGCTCATGAGTTGAGACGAGAAATTAAAGATGCGAAGGCAAAGCAGAAGAGGTATTGCTTGCTGTATTTTGATGCCCTTGCGCCGGTACCTTGACAGAGATGTTTTGCAGTCATTGGGCGAGGATGACATGAAGGCTATGAACAAGCCAACATAGCATGGACGCATTCTAACATTAAACGCGAGAACATATCACAATTTCTGTTGGAGGACAGATGTTTGATTCCTGAGTGACGTTTTGATAGCTTCGGAGATGTGTGTATGAAAGGTTATGGTTTAAACCTTGAGTATTACGTTTTACCTCACTGAGCCTTTACACCTTACCTAACGCTGTTTCTGATGCCATGTTCAAGTTAGCTTGTGTTGAAATAAATTTAGTGACCAACATATGTATCGAATGCTGGGTTTCAGGGGGCGGGGTGCGTCTATGTATGTACATGTACATAAACACACGCCTGCCCACTAACAGCGAGTCCAGTTTTCTCTCAGAGGCAAAGTCAACTACGGACGGCTGAGCCTTGCAGCTTCTTAGGGGGCGTTTCCGAAAGCGAAAGCCGTGGTGAAATTTTGGCTCATTGATGCTAGGAACTACCCTGCGTCGGCTCCAACCTGCAAAAAAAAGTGTGTCATTGGCACACTTGACCGCCCACATTTTTGCGAAACCCCTACGATCAACAAAGACGCCACAACTTTATGGCATTGTGGCGCCTGGGCACTGGGTACGATATGTGTCCCCATGCTATGCCCTTACCCTCAGCATACATCAAGGCGCCGGTTCTGTTTGTCTATGGCAACTTGGTAAAATGCATCCTCAGGTGTCGTCTGCACGGTGAGCATGATCAATGCCGTTAAACGGCTGGGCGTCTTTCTCCGTTTTGCGGTTGGCGTGTCGGAAACGGTTGGCGGCGTCGAGGCCTTGGACAGCGTCGAGGCCTCGAATTGTAAGAGAGATGTGTCAGCTTCCATTTACTCACTGCATATTCATATTCTGTAGTGCATGGTAGCAGTTTTGTTTCAAGCATCGAACTCATGTTGTGTCTCCGTCCTTCACCGCTCGTTACACCGACGGAATGTCCGGTAGATGGGCGCAAAGGCAAGAGATCGGCACCAGTTGACCCTAGCATCATGGATTGAGTCCCAGCAAAAATCCGACCGTCACCATGGACCAGGACAAAGGTTGGCACTAGAGGCTGTCCCATTATTGCGCGATGTTGCCCACTCCGGCATTCTGGGGAAGTGAGTTTCTGGAAACAATCCTGAAGCCGAGAAGTTCCAAAAGGGGATTCCTCACATTCAGTGTTGAATGGTTTCGGACGCCGCCAGATTGTTTGAGGTGTTTTGTTCCCATTCTCTCCGGGATTTGTATTATTGTTCCAAAAGCCACCAAGCACCAAATAGAAAACAACAGCAGAACGACGGTGTTCACAAGGAATCCTTCCTTTCAGACAACCTCATTGAAAACCAGGGAGAAGCACCCAAAGTCCAAAACCCCAACAACAGACGGGTCATTTAGGACAAAACGCCCACCAAGCATCGGACAACAGAACAACAGCCAACTGCCAGCTGTTCGCCAAATGTCTGTTTTCCCCCCCAAACCATGTTTGTTATGCTTGACCAGATGTCCCTTTTTAATTTTTCCCTCAAAACGGGTTGTTCATATCGAGCCATCCATATCGTTTTTGGTCCTTCCTGACACCTCGGGGTTTTTCCGCGCCGACCAATTCGCCCGCTCTTCCCTTCCAACTCCGGGGCCTTCTGCGGGAATGTGGTCGGTCGGTCAACTTCGCCCAAGCCACCCAGAAGCACTGAAGCCCCAAAGACTGAGGTGAAGTTTTGAGGTCGGAGTTCTTCCCTCGCTGGGTTTTCGCGTTTTTTTTGTCGCTGGCATTTTTCAAGGGACGCCACCTTGCTGTTGTATTGCTTTGCTGGGTTGTTTGTTTGGCGCTTGTTATGTTGTTTATTTTCGAGGAACTCAGCCTCCCACCACGTTGAGGTGGGATTGGCTCCTGCTTCCCTGATCCCTCTGTTTTTTGGGCTGGCCTCAGCGATTTGGGTGTGTCTGTGCTTTCTAGGGCCAAGTGTGATTTTGGAAACTCATTGTGGCTGACTTTCAAAGGGAGACAACAAAAAAGCACCGAACAGCTTTTGGGGTCCGCTAATTCGGAATTCTGAGTCAAACCCATTTGTATGGCATACTGGTTCATTCAAGCAAACGCATTGTGGTCCTGGCCTGCATGTCGACCTTTGCTGCCCTGCCGTCAATCCAACTTCTAACGTTCTTCGGCCAGGACCCCACAGATAGTTTTCCGCAGCATGATTTCGGGTGCAGACGTGCGCCCCAGATCGAGGGTTGATGTCCCATTCATTCCGCCTATCATGGGGCAAGGTAACCCGAGATAATCCCAGGCGGGCTGTTTTCGGGCGTTCTTTAACTTCGCGTGCACGGTGCCTTTTTTGAGCGGGCAAAATGCGCGGGGTAGGATGCATACGGCAGACGCATGGTGTCCCTTGACAGCAGCACGTCGTTCCGAGGTTGGTTGTTTTGCTGTTGTCGTTCTTGGTGTTTCTCAAGGGGCACAGCTTTGCTGTTGTCTTACTTGGTTTGGTTGTTTGCTTGCCGTTTGTTCTGCATTGTTCGAGTGACCCAGCCTCCAACCAAGATGTTGAGCTGCTCCTATCTCCCCGATCCCTCCGTCTTTTGGGCTGGCCGGCGCGATTTGGGTGTGTCTGTCGTCCTAGGGTTTGATTCCTTTCCATGTTTTTCGACCATCCAAGACAACAAACCAGCCGTTTCCCGCAGAATTGGGCCAAGAAGGATTTCTGGGAATGGCGAACCTACACCAGGTACGATTTTGGGAACTCCTTGTTGCGTTGCGCAACCAAAACGCACCGAACGGCAAGCCCGCTTTGTGGTCTGGCTGGCATGTTGACCTTTGCTCCCCTGTCATCAATGCATTTGTCTACGTTCTTTGGCCAGGACCCCAGCGGCAGTTTGACGCAGCGTGATTTTCCGCTTGGCGGCTCCCTGGTTTGACGCGTATTTCTTGGAGAGCATGACTGCCCGACCAACAAACAATTCAACCATGCCAGGCCGCCGCAGGGGGGCCGCATTGCGGCTTTTGTCTCTGCAAGGCTGGCGGACAGGGGGAATGTGTTGATTTGAGGGACGGTCGACCTTTTTCGCCAACATGTACTGTAGCAACTAGGATGTGGTGCATGCACCTATACCTATCACGCCCAATTGCCATGAGAAAGCAGATGAACACCCCAACCCGAAGATGTCCAGCAAACAAGATTTCTGAATTCCAGAAGGACCACCCTGAATTACTCTACATTTCTCTGAGCGCACAAAGACACCGAGCCAAATTCCGACTCCCAAAGAATGCCTCGTGACCCCTATCACGGCTGGAATTCCCCCCCACACAGTCCGCTCTTGGATGGGGAATGGTCGGCTACCTGAGGTTTTTTGTTGGCCTGATCAGGTCGAGTCCCGGATGCCGCTGTGTTGCATTTGTTTGTTTTTTCCTATCTCGATGAAGCAGTCTCCTTGGGCCGAAAGGTGCAAATGGAAGAGAGGGGTTACTCAGACACTTTCGGAGACTCTTCAAGACGTTCAAGTGACCTAACGCATGTCTCGGATTCCCCGGATCTCCGACATTTCATATATAGAGAATATGATATACGTATACATATATATATATACACATATTCGCGGCTCCCCGACTTTCGCCTCTTCGGTCTTGTTCGCCCCGCAGGGCCTCAAAGACTCCGCGCCTCTCGGTGAGGCGGGCGGTCAAAGGTGTTTCGCCTCAACGCCGTTTTTCCGGCGACTCCAACGACGGCGTTCGATGCCGGCTCGACGGGCTCGGAGTCGTGTTTGCGGATCTTGGAGGTTTTCGGACCAAGAGTGGAATCTCAAGATATTGACTTTGTAGAGACTCGCCATGGCAAGGATTTCATTTCGACAGTTGAACGGTGAGGTAACGGTTTGTGAAGTTCTGCCAGATATCACCGGTCGGGAACTCAAGGAGCGCATCAAGGAGTGCCAGGTTTGGGATGATGTCACACGCGAAACAACCCGTGTCGACATTCTTGTGGGGACAAGATTGATGACGAACGACGAGACGGCTGCAGATGCAGGCCTTTCGCCAGAGTCAGAGGTGACCGTAGTATTGAAACAAAACGCTGCGACCTGCTCCCACAAGGCGGAGCTTGACCAATTTGGCGAGGAGATTGACTTGGCGACCGCATTCGTGGTTCAAATCTCAAGCGGTGCTACTGAAATTGTTGAAGACGCATTTGAAGACTGCGACACTCTGGCACGTGTGACCATTCCGGACTCAGTGACAGAGATTGGCGCTGGTGCCTTTCAATACTGCAGCTCCTTGGCTAGTGTGACCATCCCCGGCTCAGTGACCCACATTGGCGATCGTGCCTTTAAAAGCTGCAGCTCCTTGGCTAGTGTGACCATCCCAGACTCAGTGACCCTGATTGCGCATGGCGCCTTTGAAAGCTGCAGCTCCTTGGCTAGTGTGACCATCCCAGACTCAGTGACCCTGATTGCGCATGGCGCCTTTGAAAGCTGCACCTTGTTGGCTAGTGTGACCATCCCAGACTCAGTGACCCAGATTGGGCCTGCTGCCTTTTCAGGATGCAGCTCCTTGGCTAGTGTGACCATCCCCGGCTCAGTGACCCACATTGGCGATCGTGTCTTTGAAAGCTGCAGCTCCTTGGCTAGTGTGACCATCCCACACTCAGTGACCCTGATTGCGCATGGCGCCTTTGAAAGCTGCACCTCGTTGGCTAGTGTGACCATCCCAGACTCAGTGACCCAGATTGGGCCTGCTGCCTTTTCAGGATGCAGCTCCTTGGCTAGTGTGACCATCCCCGGCTCAGTGACCCACATTGGCGATCGTGCCTTTCAAAGCTGCAGCTCCTTGGCTAGTGTGACCATCCCAGACTCAGTGACCCTGATTGCGCATGGCGCCTTTGAAAGCTGCAGCTTGTTGGCTAGTGTGACCATCCCCGACTCAGTGACCCACATTGGCGATCGTGTCTTTGAAAGCTGCAGCTCCTTGGCTAGTGTGACCATCCCAGACTCAGTGACCCAGATTGGCTATGGTGCCTTTAAAAGCTGCAGCTTCTTGGCTAGTGTGACCATCCCCGACTCAGTGACAGAGATTGGCGCTGGTGCCTTTTCAGGATGCAGCTCCTTGGCTACTGTGACCATTCCCGGCTCAGTGACCCACATTGGCAATCGTGCCTTTGAAAGCTGCAGCTCCTTGGCTAGTGTGACCATCCCAGACTCAGTGACCCAGATTGTTTTCAATGCCTTTGCAGGCTGCGGCTCGTTGGCTAGCGTGACCATCCCCGGCTCAGTGGAAAGGATTTCGAAAAATGCCTTTAAAAGCTGCGTCTCCTTAACTTGTGTGACTGTCCCTGATTGCTTTATTGAGGAGGATGCCTTCGCAGGATGCAGTGCTTTGACTTTGGTCGTTCCCATATGTGGAAAAAGGAGAAGGTTGTGGGTTGCCGCCCTGACGGGCTGCAAGCAGATTCAAGCAAAATAATGTGCATGCCAAGAGTGCGAGCACAAGTGGTTTCTGAATGGCTGGGTGTGTCCTCGACGGTGGGGATTTTGAGCTTGCTTCAGAAGCTTTTTGTAGCACGTTGTATAACTGAATGATGGTTGCACACTGAATGATCTGAATCTCTATACATCTGCGCTGCTTGCGAAAAGGCGGCTGGCTTGCTGCTGGCTCCACAAAAGCATGCCCGGTGACGCTTATATAGCACGTTCAATATTCTGGGATGCATCCGGCGGGGTCAAATTTTAATCGGATATGATTTGCAGGACTGATTTGGTCCTCGACCCGGATGGCGCTGTATTTCATTGTTCGTGCCCCATCTCGGGTCGTCATTTTCCAATGTCCTCTGCAAGGAGGAGGCCTTCTGTCCCGGGGCGAATTGTTCACCTTGAATCGGTTCGGGGTGTCAAACAGGGGATTGAACAAAGGGGTGGTCCGTCCTTCGGCCTCCTAGGGAAGGTTCGGCCCTGCACTCTTCTTGGGCAAGGCCTGGCGGGACGAACTGATGCACTAGGTCCCCAGCTAGGTGCCCTTCTCTCCCAACTTTTTTGGTTGGGAGGGTTCCCCTACTAAAATAGACTACAGAAAAAGGTGCCCTTATTCTAAGCTCTCTACTGGAGGACGTGGTGAATATTCAAAAAGACACATGGATGGAAAAACAGCCTCCCCGGGTAGATGAAGGTTAGTAAGGGGCAATCCCCTTGCCATGAATAGCTGCGGCCGCCTTCCTTCTTGTTTCTTTACGTGGTTCTGGGATTACGACCCGGGTTTTGATTATGACTCAACTGACTTTCGAAGAGCAACATGTTTCTTCGGCTTTTAAAGGGGCAAAGAGAGCACCGCCGGTGTTTGGTGTTTTTGCTGTCTTCGCATTGCCAATTTTCGAAAATTTAGCATTGCCAAGACTCGCTCTCAGATTCCCTGTGCCTCATTTACTCTTGCCAATTCCAGATTTAGCAAAACAAGTTTGACATGAAAGCAAAGGAACCACGCAACTGCCAGATGAAGCAGATTCAGGGCCTTTTGTGAGCGACGCCCTTTGCGCCAACTGTTTGGCCTTACGGTTTTTAGATAAAAGAAGGTGTCCTAAACAGGGCTCCTTAAAAGATACATTTTTCCCCTTTGAAACAAAATAAAGGGAAACCACCATTTACAAGGCAATGTTCAGGTGTATAATGTAAGGATCCCTGCTAGATACACGAAAAGTTGCCGTCCACTTGCAAACTTATGATTTAGATCCAAGGCCTCTAGGCCTTTGAGCCGTTTTTTTCGGGATTTTTTCGGCGTTTTTTCCTCGGGTCTTTGCCCAAAAGGGCTTGGGGAGAGCACCTGACCCGGGTTGGTTTTGGGACGGACGGGGCGGGCGTGGGCCTTGGACGCGGTGAGGCGTCGCTTCGAACCTTCGGATGATTGCCCAATGGCGTGGGTTGGGAACTTGATGCGCAGCCTCACCTCAGCACCGATATGATCAAAATTCAAGCTAGCCTTCTGCTTGGTCCTCTAGCGCTCATGTGCGCATCACATGGTCATTGCAGTCGTTGCTTGTACGGTTTCTCCAAGATGCACGCGGTTTTGTCCATTTTGTTTAGGTGATGATCAAAGGGGCATGTTTGGAAGTCTGGGGAATCAATCAACATGGGAAAAAGGAAGCAGCTTAATTACAAAAACTTGACTCAGGACCACAACTTGCTGTGACCCGGTTTGGGCATGAACCGATTGGGATTCCCTGAAAGCATAGGATGGATGGTGTTGTTTTTTGTTTCATTCCATTCATTTCTCATTCCCTGCCCATCGAACCAAGGGAAGTGTTGAGCCGAGTTGCCAGCGTATCTGTTCCAGGTGTCTTGTTGCCTTTGAGAAAATTGGCGACCTCAAAAAGGAATCCTTCACAAGGGGGTCGATCCACTTTTCCCCTTTGTTCACCTCGCCGCATTTGGCTTCGTGTCGAGGCCACCTCGAACTCCCGTGGCTCCATGGCACCAGGCCGCCACCTGCAAGACTGTTGCCCCTCAAGGCGTCGGGTTTTTTGACGGTTCTGTTCGAGGTGTGTGCCGGTTGCTTTTTTCCTTTCCCATGCTTTTTTTTGCTGGCCATCGTTCATCCTTCTTGCCGTTTCCCCGAATTGGGTGGATTCTTGGAAAGGATCCGTGGGGCAGCCATGAGCTAGGATGGTTCCGGGCTTACATCTCCACATGGGTATCCTGCTTTGGGTGGTTTGTGGCGTCAACCAGGTTTGGGGGTGTTCTGTTTGTTTTGCGTTTCAGCTTCTTTCTCCTTTTCGTGCTCTCGCTCTTGCACTTTATTTTCTCGTGCCTTTATCCTTCTCTTGCTTTTGGTCTTGCTCTTGTTTTCTCTCCTTCCCTTTCTCTTTAGCAGGCGCGAGTTTTTTTTTTTTTTTTTTTTAAACGAAGTCCAAGGAACAAGACGGATGGCGCGAGTGAGCGTAGATCCTGGGCACCCAAAGAGTTGCCCGGGAACAGAGCTGGAAGCTCATTTGACTTGGCAGTGCTGGCTCTTTTTTGTTTGTTTTGGTTTCTCTTTAGGCTCCCTCTTGATCTTAGGTTGCTTTGGGTTTATTTTGTCCCCTTCTGGTTGATCTGTGCTTGTATTTCAAGAGTTCCAAACACAGCCAAGAGGGTTGGTTGCGCAATTGGTTGCAACCAACCCCTGGTTCCTAGAGTGAAGGCAAAATCGTTTTGTTCCAGTAAGCAAAAGCGACACCAAAAGGACTGGACGGACTGGACGGACTTGGGACGGGATGCTCATTTGCCTCTGTAGGTGATTGCTGTGCCCTGAGCCCTGATTGTTCCAGGCGCGAGGGTTGATTTCCCAATTCCACCTATGTTCATTGTGTAGAAAGGGCAAGGAAACCCCAGATAATCCCAGGCGGGCTGTTTTCGGGAGTTCTTTAGCTTCGCATGCACTGCGCCTTTTTTTGAGCGGGCAAAATGCGCGGGGTAGGATGCATACGGCAGACGCATGGTGTCCCTTGACAGCAGCACGTCGTTCCGAGGTTGGTTGTTTTGCTGTTGTCGTTCTTGGTGTTTCTCAAGGGGCACAGCTTTGCTGTTGTCTTACTTGGTTTGGTTGTTTGCTTGCCGTTTGTTCTGCATTGTTCGAGTGACCCAGCCTCCAACCAAGATGTTGAGCTGCTCCTATTTCCCCGATCCCTCCGTCTTTTGGGCTGGCCGGCGCGATTCGGGTGTGTCTGTCGTCCTGTTTGATTCCTTTCCATGTTTGTCGACCATCCAAAACAACAAACCAGCCGTTTCCCGCAGAATGGGGCCAAGAAGGATTTCTGGGAATGGCGAACCTACCCCAGGTACGATTTTGGGAACTCCTTGCGTTGCGCAACCAAAAAGCACCGAACGGCTTTGCCCATTTGTATGACGGACTGGTTCATTCAAGCACACAACGCGTTGTGGTCCTGGCCGGCATGTTGACCTTTGCTCCCCTGTCGTCAATCCATTTGTCTATGTTCTTTGGCCAGGACCCCAACGGCAGTTTGACGCAGCGTGATTTTCCGCTTGGCGGCTCCCTGGTTTGACGCGTATTTCTTGGAGAGCATGACTGCCCGACCAACAAACAATTCAACCATGCCAGGCCGCCGCAGGGCGGCCTCATTGCGGCTCTTGTCTCTGCAAGGCTGGCGGACAGGGGGAATGTGTTGATTTGAGGGACGGTCGACCTTTTTCGCCAACATGTACTGTAGCAACTAGGATGTGGTGCATGCACCTATACCTATCACGCCCAATTGCCAGGAGAAAGCAGATGAACACCCCAACCCGAAGATGTCCAGCAAACAAGATTTCTGAATTCCAGAAGGACCACCCTGAATTACTCTACATTTCTCTGAGCGCACAAAGACACCGAGCCAAATTCCGACTCCCAAAGAATGCCTCGTGACCCCTATCACGGCTGGAATTCCCTCCACACGGTCGGATCTTGGATGGGGAATGGTCGGCTACCTGAGGTTTTTTGTTGGCCTGATCAGGTCGAGTCCCGGATGCCGCTGTGTTGCATTTGTTTGTTTTTTCCTATCTCGATGAAGCAGTCTCCTTGGGCCGAAAGGTGCAAATGGAAGAGAGGGGTTACTCAGACACTTTCGGAGACTCTTCAAGACGTTCAAGTGACCTAACGCATGTCTCGGATTCCCCGGATCTCCGACATTTCATACATAGATAATATGATATACGTATACATATATATATATATATACACATATTCGCGGCTCCCCGACTTTCGCCTCTTCGGTCTTGTTCGCCCCGCAGGGCCTCAAAGACTCCGCGCCTCTCGGTGAGGCGGGCGGTCAAAGGTGTTTCGCCTCAACGCCGTTTTTCCGGCGACTCCGACGACGGCGTTCGATGCCGGCTCGACGGGCTCGGAGTCGTGTTTGCGGATCTTGGAGGTTTTCGGACCAAGAGTGGAATCTCAAGAAATTGACTTTGTAGAGACTCGCCATGGCAAGGATTTCATTTCGACAGTTGAACGGTGAGGTAACGGTTTGTGAAGTTGTGCCAGATATCACCGGTCGGGAACTCAAGGAGCGCATCAAGGAGTGCCAGGTTTGGGATGATGTCACACGCGAAACAACCCGTGTCGACATTCTTGTGGGGACAAGATTGATGACGAACGACGAGACGGCTGCAGATGCAGGCCTTTCGCCAGAGTCAGAGGTGACCGTAGTATTGAAACAAAACGCTGCGACCTGCTTCCACAAGGCGGAGCTTGACCAATTTGGCGAGGAGATTGACTTGGAGACCGCATTCGTGGTTCAAATCTCAAGCGGTGCTACTGAAATTGTTGAAGATGCATTTGAAGACTGCGACACTCTGGCACGTGTGACCATTCCGGACTCAGTGACAGAGATTGGCGCTGGTGCCTTTTCAGGATGCAGCTCCTTGGCTACTGTGACCATCCCCGGCTCAGTGACCCACATTGGCAATCGTGCCTTTGAAAGCTGCAGCTCCTTGGCTAGTGTGACCATCCCAGACTCAGTGACCCAGATTGATTTCAATGCCTTTGCAGGCTGCGGCTCGTTGGCTAGCGTGACCATCCCCGACTCAGTGGAAAGGATTTCGAAAAATACCTTTTAAAGCTGCGTCTCCTTAACTTGTGTGACTGTCCCTGATTGCTTTATTGAGGAGGATGCCTTCGCAGGATGCAGTGCTTTGGCTTTGGTCGTTCCCATATGTGGAAAAAGGAGAAGGTTGAGGGTTGCCGCCCTGACGGGCTGCAAGCAGATTCAAGCAAAAGAATGTGCATGCCAAGAGTGCGAGCACAAGTGGTTTCTGAATGGCTGGGTGTGTCCTCGACGGTGGGGATTTTGAGCTTGCTCGAGAAGTTTTTTGTAGCACGTTGTATAACTGAATGATGGTTGCACACTGAATGATCTGAATCTCTATACATTTGCGCTGCTTGCGAAAAGGCGGCTGGCTTGCTGCTGGCTCCACAAAAGCATGCCCGGTGACGCTTATATAGCACGTTCAATATTCTGGGATGCATCCGGCGGGGTCAAATTTTAATCGGATATGATTTGCAGGACTGATTTGGTCCTCGACCCGGATGGCGCTGTATTTCATTGTTCGTGTTCCCCATCTCGTGCCGTCATTTTCCAATGTCCTCTGCAAGGAGGAGGCCTTCTGTCCCGGGGCGAATTGTTCACCTTGAATCGGTTCGGGGTGTCAAACAGGGGATTGAACAAAGGGGTGGTCCGTCCTTCGGCCTCCTAGGGAAGGTTCCAATCGTGCTCTGAGCGCCCAGCTCTGTCCGTTGCGGGCTCGTTCGCAGGCCAAATCTCCAAGTCGGCCCTGCACTCTTCTTGGGCAAGGCCTGGCGGGACGAACTGATGCACTAGGTCCCTAGCTAGGTGCCCTTCTCTCCCAACTTTTTTGGTTGGGAGGGTTCCCCTACTAAAATAGACTACAGAAAAAGGTGCCCTTATTCTAACCTCTCTACTGGAGGACGTGGTGAATATTCAAAAGGACACATGGATGGAAAATCAGCCTCCCCGGGTAGATGAAGGTTAGTAAGGGGCAATCCCCTTGCCATGAATAGCTGCGGCCGCCTTCCTTCTTGTTTCTTTACGTGGTTCTGGGATTACGACCCGGGTTTTGATTATGACTCAACTGACTTTCGAAGAGCAACATTTTTCTTCGGCTTTTAAAGGGGCAAAGAGAGCACCGCCGGTGTTTGGTGTTTTTGCTGTCTTCGCATTGCCAATTTTTGAAATTTTAGCATTGCTAAGACTCGCTCTCAGATTCCCTGTGCCTCATTTACTCTTGCCAATTCCAGATTTAGCAAAACTATGAAAGCAAACGAACCACGCAACCGCCAGATGAAGCATTCAGGGCCTTTTGTGAGCGACGCCCTTTGCGCCAACTGTTTGGCCTTACGGCTTGTAGATAAAAGAAGGTGTCCGAAATCCGAAGAAACAAAAAGCTGCTTTGCCTTGCAAAAATATGACTTGGATCCGAGGCCTCTAGGCCTTTGAGCCGTTTTTTTCGGGATTTTTTTCGGCGTTTTTCCTCGGGTCTTTGCCCAAAAGGCTTGGGGAGAGCACCTCACCCGGGTTGGTTTTGGGACGGACGGGGCGGGCGTGGGCCTTGGACGCGGTGAGGCGTGGCTTCGGATTGGCAGATTGCCCAATGGCGTGGGTTGGGGGGAAGTTGATGCGCTACAGCCTCACCTCAGCACCGATATGATCAAAATTCAAGCTAGCCTTCTGTTTGGTTCTCTAGCGATCCCAATGTGCGCATCACATGGTCATTGCAGTCGTTGCTTGTACGGTTTCTCCAAGATGCACGCGGTTTTGTCCATTTTGTTTGCGACAGGTGATGATCAAAGGAGCATGTTTGGAAGTCTGGGGAATCAATCAACATGGGAAAAAGGAAGCAGCTTGCAAAAGCTTAACTCAGGGCCACAACTTGCTGGAGCTCAGTAGGGAGTGACCCGGTTTGGGCATGAACCGATTGGGATTCCCTGAAAGCATGGGATGGATGGTGTTTTTTTTCATTCCATTCATTTCTCATTCCCTGCCCATCGTAAGGGAAGTGTTGAGCCGAGTTGCCAGCGTATCTGTTCCAGCTTGTTGCCACCTTTGAGAAAATTGGCGACCTCCTCAAAAAGGAATCCTTCACTACAAGGGGGTCGATCCATTTTTTCCCTGATTTGTTCACCTGGCCGCTGCGTTCGGCTTCGTGTCGAGGCCTCGAACTTCCGTGGCTCCATGGCACCAGGCCGCCTGCAAGACTTTTGCCCCTCAAGGCGTCGGGTTTTTTGACGGTTCCGTTGCGTTTGGTGTGTACCGGTTGCTTTCTGTTCCTTTCCCATGCTTTTTTTTTTTCTGGCCATCCTTCATCCTTCTTGCCGTTTCCCCGAATTGGGTGCATTCTGGAAAGGATCCGTGGGGCAGCCATGAGCTAGGATGGTTCCGGGCTTACATCTCCACATGGGTATCCTGCTTTGGGTGGTTTGTAGCGTCAATCATGTTTGGAGGTGTTCTGTTCGTTTTGCGTTTCAGCTTCTTTCTCCTTTTCGTGCTCTCGCTCTTGCACTTTATTTTCTCGTGTCCTTTCTCCTTCTCTTGCTTTTGGTCTTGCTCTTGCTTTCTCTCCTTCTCTTTCTCTTTAGCAGACGCGAGTTTTTTTTTTTTTTTTTTTTTAAGAAGTCCAAGGAACAAGACAGATGGCGCGAGTGAGCGTAGATCCTGGGCACCCAAAGAGTTGCCCGGGAACAGAGCTGGAAGCTCATTTGACTTGGCAGTGCTGGCTCTGTTTTGTTTGTTTTGGTTTCTCTTTAGGCTCCCTCTTGAGCTTAGGTTGCTTTGGGTTTATTTTGTCCCCTTCTGGTTGATCTGTGCTGCAGTGCTTGTATTTCAAGAGTTCCAAACACAGCCAAGAGGGTTGGTTGCGCAATTGGTTGCAACCAACCCCTGGTTCCTAAAGTGAAGGCAAAATAGTTTTGTTCCAGTAAGCAAAAGCGACACCAGAAGGACTGGACGGACTGGACGGACTTGGGACGGGATGCTCATTTGCCTCTGTAGGTCATTGCTGTGCCCTGAGCCCTGATTGTTCCAGGCGCGAGGGTTGATTTCCCAATTCCACCTATGTTCATTGTGTAGAAAGGGCAAGGAAACCCCAGATAATCCCAGGCGGGCTGTTTTCGGGAGTTCTTTAGCTTCGCACGCACTGCGCCTTTTTTTGAGCGGGCAAAATGCGCGGGGTAGGATGCATACGGCAGACGCATGGTGCCCTTGACAGCAGCACGTCGTTCCGAGGTTGGTTGTTTTGCTGTTGTCGTTCTTGGTGTTTCTCAAGGGGCACACACTTTGCTGTTGTATTTCTGGGTTTGGTTGTTTGCTTGCCGTTTGTTCTGCATAGTTTTTTCGAGTGACCCAGCCTCCAACCAAGATGTTGAGCTGCTCCTATTTCCCCGATCCCTCCGTCTTTTGGGCTGGCCGAGCCTGCGCGACTTGGGTGTGTCTGTTGTCCTAGGGTTTGATTCCTTTCCATGTTTGTCGACCATCCTTATCAACAAACCAGCTGTTTCCCTCGGAATTGGGTGGTTTTCTGGCAAGAAGGATTTCTTGGAAGAATGGCCGATTTTGGGAACTCCTTGTGGCTGGCGTTATATTGCGTACTGGTTCGTTCAATCAAGCAAACACCGCTTTGTGGTCCTGGCCGGCATGTTGACCTTTGCTCCCCTGTCGTCAATCCATTCTTCTATTGTTCTTTGGCCAGGATTTCGTGCTCTACAAGAAGCCGCCAAGCGGAAATCACGCTGCGTCAAACTGCCGTTGGGGTCCTGGCCAAAGAACATAGACAAATGGATTGACGACAGGGGATCAAAGGTCAACATGCCGGCCAGGACCACAACGCGTTGTGTGCTTGAATGAACCAGTCCGTCACACAAACGGGCAAAGCCGTTCGGTGCTTTTTGGTTGCGCAATATAACTCCAGCCACAAGGAGTTCCCAAATCGTACCGGGTGTAGGTTCGCCATTCTTCCCAGAAATCCTTCTTGGCCCCATTCTGCGGGAAACGGCTGGTTTGTTGTTTTGGATGGTCGACAAACATGGAAAGGAATCAAACTCTAGGACGACAGACACACCCAAATCGCGCGGGCCTGGTTTGACGCGTATTTCTTGGAGAGCATGACTGCCCGACCAACAAACAATTCAACCGTGCCAGGCGGCCGCAGGGCGGCCGCCTTGCGGCTCTTGTCTCTGCAAGGCTGGCTGACAGGGGGAATGTGCTAATTTGACAGACGGTCGACCTTTTTCACCAACATGTACTGTAGCAACTAGGATGTGGTGCATGCACCTATACCTATCACGCCCAATTGCCATGAGAAAGCAGATGAACACCCCAACCCGAAGATGTCCAGCAAAACAAGATTTCTGAATTCCAGAAGGACCACCCTGAATTACTCTACATTTCTCTGAGCGCACAAAGACACCGAGCTAAATTCCGACTCCCAAAGAATGCCTCGTGACCCCCATCACGGCTGGAATTCCCCCCACACGGTCGGATCTTGGATTGGGAATGGTCAAAGACCTGAGGTTTATTGCTGGCCTGATTTGGTCGAGTCCCGGATGCCGCCGCTGTATTGCATTTGTTCGTTTTTCCGATCTCGATGCGGCAGTCTCCTGGGGCCGAAAGGTGCAAATGGAAGAGAGGGGTTACTCAGACACTTTCGGAGACTCTTCGGCCTTCTCAAGAGATTTCAAGACGGTCAAGTGACCTAAGGCATGTCTCGGATTCCCCGAATCTCCGACATTTCATATATAGAGAATGATAAATAAATAAATAAATATATATATATATATATATATTCACGTGTTGAATACATAACAGTATTGTACAGATCGCCTACATGTGACGACCGTTACATGTCGGTACAAGGCCTTGAGCCTAGCCCACGCCAGCAGTACAAAAGATTACAACCGTGCCGTGTCGTTCACATCACAGGTCCAACACTTCAGATCAACAGATTCTACATTCACAACATTGAGTTGGTAGCGGAGCAGTGATTTCTGGTACACGATCCACGACCACAACCCAGGGTGAGCTCCTACACACACCCACAGGTTCAGGTACACAGTAGCGAGTAACATGGCGGCACAACAGCAACAGGAACAGCAGCTGGAAGGAATCCACAGACCACGGTTCACAGGAGAATACAACACCTTCAAAGAATGGAAGTACAAGATGACAGCATACTTGGGATTACAAGACCCAGCATACGAGCAATCAACAGGACAAGTTACAAACGACCAACTTGAGAATGTAGCACCTTCACAAGCAGTAGCAGAGCAATGGGTACAACTGAACAACAATGTACACTACCACTTGGTGAGCACATGCGGCGGACCAGCATCTACAATTTGCAGGCAAAAAAAACAGGGCAACGGATTTGAAACATGGCGACTGATACATGCAAGATACTCTATACCACTTGGCACACGAAGCATTGGGTACCTAACAAGGTTACTCAAACCACAACTTGATGAACAGAAGCTCGAAGAGAGCTTCACAACGTAGGAGTTTCAACTCTCCAGGTACGAACAAGACAACAACACACTACTACCAGATGCAGTCAAGATTGGAATACTGCTCAACGAGACAAAAGGACCACTACAGCCGCATTTACAACTTCAAGCAGGAAACATCACAACATATGCACAGATCAGATCAATGGTGATCGAGTACTACAGAGCAACAGCATCATTCACCAGGCTACAAGCAATCACATCAGGCAGCAACAATCAAGGACCGGCACCGATGGACATAGGAGCAACATGGTACAAGAAAGGAAAAGGAAAGAAGGGCAAGCACAAGGGCAAAGGAAAGCACAACAAAGGCAAAGGCTACGGCAACTACGGGAACAACCACAGCCACAACAACTACAAAGGAGGAAAAGGGAAGTACAATCAACAACCGGTTGGACAAGGAAATCCATTCAAAGGACAACATGGATATGGCAAAGGAAAAGGATACAGCAACAAAGGAAAAGGCAAAGGATACTACAACAACGAACAAGGAGGAAAAGGAGCAGAAGGAAAACAAGCAACAAATGTTTGCTACAGATGTGGACAACCAGGACACATGGCCAAACAATGCAGAGTTGCGATCTACAACTGTGACACAGGAACTTTAGTCACCAATGACCAGACAGATGACTAGGTACAATCAGGCACACTACGACAACAACTGGTATCATCAGGATCAGTCACAGATGCACCAACTGGCGCAACCACCACAGGTAGCAGATCCATCAGCAGTACCTATCTCAGGATTACATGAAGTAACCATCGCCATGATTGGCGCAACGCAACAACCACCAGACGACAACAAATGGGTCAGCCTCATGATTGACAGCGGTGCGGCTACACATGTATGCCCACTATGGTTTGCATCACAATTTCCGCTACACCAACTAGGACATGGCACAGGACCACAACTGCGAACAGTGACCAACCAGCACATCAAGCTTCACGGGTGATGGGTTTGCGTGACAAGCCACAGCGGACAACAGGTCGTACCATTTGACGTTTGTGAGGTTAAACAGCCACTTCTTTCGGTTACAAGGCTGGTGGAACAAGGTTTCCAACTTACACTGGATGACAATCCAAGACTACAGCACATCAAAGGCTTCAACAGCACTCTGGAGAACAGAAATGGCCTGTTCTTCCTACAAGCAGAAATCACAACATTGCCAAAAGGAACAAAGCTACAGATACACAACAAGGGCAGATTGGCATGATAGCACCGACCACAACGCTTACACCACAAGGTCCTGCAGACACAGGGTATGCAGGGGACTACTGGCAGTTCAACAGAGTACACAGGCAATACAGGAAGACACTTTTCACACCATCAAGAGCACAGTGTCCAGTTCCAGCAGCGCAACTAGAGGATTACAGGAAAACAACAATCAGGTCCAAGGACGGCGCAACAAATACATTTGAGGACAAGTATCGAATAACAGAAAATCCAAACAAAGCACAACCACAGATGTGGAAAGGCGAGACAGCCTTCAGGATCAACAAAGGCACAAAGTTGCCAGAAACGCTACAGCAACAGTTTACAACAAAGACACAGCCAAGGAGCGAGCCACAGAGGATCACACCACAAGTGATTCACTACGAGAGAGAAAACAACACCACCAACACTACAGGAGTCAGCAGCACCACACACCACCAAAGGTGCAGCTGGACAAGGAATTCCACATCCTTCAGAAGTACATCCTGGAGGAGACTACGGGTACAGAGAAGGCCCATACTGGAAGAGAGTACATGTTGAGCCTAGAACGGCGTTTTACATACCAGAGCAGACACACGACGGGCCAGACATCAAACGGCTCACACCTTGGAGACGGACCAAGGTACAACCAGTTGGAGGAGAAAGACAACACACAAGATTGATAGAACATGAATGGACAACACAGCCAGCAAAGACATCAGACAAGCCTTGGACAGGCTGGACACATTTTGAGGAACATCAGGAGTTCCCAACACAACTTGAGTCAGATGATGAGGAACAACAACAAGGCATAAAAGCAAAAGCAGTACAGGCGCCCAAGCAACCAACACGACAGGAGATACTTGAGCACAACGTGACACAATCTCCCTTGCAGGAGTTGGTGTCCAATATGCGCACAAGCAAGAGGCAGACAGAACAATCATCCAAAACAACATAGCAAGCCTCCAATCATACAGCTTGACTTCGGCTACATCAAAGGCTTTGATGATAGCAATGCACACCCAATTCTCACGGCAATTGACATCCAGTCAGGGATGATCATGGCACTACAAATGACAGACTACAGTCACACAGCTACAGCACTTCCTCATTGAGTGTGGAAGGACAACACGCACGATACTACAATCAGATCAGGAAGACTTCCTGACAGCGCTCACAACAGCAGTGGCCAACAATAATGGCAACATCACCACGAGGAACTCAGGAGCATACAGTTCACAATCACAAGGAGGAGTAGAGCGAGCACACAGAACATTGTTTGCGCAAATCAGAACACTCAAGGCACAAATCCGACAAAACTACAACAGAGACATTTCAATGAAACATCCACTCATGCCTTGGATAGTTCGACACAGTGCATACATCATGAACAGGTATGCAGTTCACAGCAATGGATGCACAAGCTACTTCAACAGATGGAACAGAGAGCAACATACACCACTTTGCAAGTTTGGTGAGACAGTGCGACACATGCTACCAACAGTGAAACAATTTCCAAAACCCGAGCCTAGATTCTACAACGGGATCTGGCTTGGCAAGGATACAACCACAGGCGAATCCTTGGGATCTGCAACAAGATTGTCAGAGCAAGGACAATCAGAAGGCAGATTGTGCCTCACAAATACAATCAGCAACTACTGGACTGTGTACACACAGGTCCATGGAAGACACCAGCATCAGCACTGCGCACACCAACTCTCACAACACCATTGACAATGCCAGCTACAAGCAAGGCACCACCATCACAGAAAGATGCAACAACAGAGCCAACATCTCCCATGGCTACATCTCCAACACACCAGAAGCGACCAGCACTGCCAGCACCACCGCCTGCATCACCCACAAGAGAAAGAGATGACACAATAGCAGAAGGCAGTACAGGCAAGCAACAGCGCAGCACAGCAGAAAGACAAGCACTTGAGCGACCTACAACATCAGAACAACCAAAGAGCAAGATCAGGATAAACGCCATCGAGTTCACAACAAAGGATGATAAACAAATGCAAACAACATCCAATGAAGATGCAAAAGAAATCAACAATGAAAGGATCCTACTAGAGCCAATCCTACATGACACAGAAGACTTGGATCCACAACGGGTAGCACAAGGAATGAAGAAGGAAGTACAGCAAATGAAAGATCAATCAGTCTTTACAGAGATTGATGGCAACATGATGACACCAGAACAACAGGCGAACATCATCGAGTCTAAATGGGTTCTCAAACAGAAACACAACGAAGTGCGAGCACGCATAGTAGCAAAGGGCTACACAGAACCCGTTACAGACCACGATCTCTTGTTTGCAAGTACACCATTGTTTTGCATACTGAGGATACTCCTCACAATGGCATTGGTGTACAACTGGTCGGTCAGCACAGGAGATGTCAGTGTTGCATGTCTACATGCAGAAGCAATCTTCTACAACCTGGTAATGCGACCACCACATGAGTTCTACAATGATGAAAACAGACACATAATGCGGCGGCTGAACAAAGCCATTTATGGCCTACGATCATCACCAAAACAATGGCAAGACCACATAGCACACACAGTCGACTTGGACTTGTGAGATGCACAACAGAAAGCAATGTTTACAGATCAGGTCTACATCATGATCTATGTGGACGATCTCCTTTTCATAGGAGTACAGAACATCATCAACACGCCCTTCAGCAGGATACAACAGGAAGTTCTGCTGAGACACACAGGCCACCTAACAATTGGATCAACAATACATTGCCTTGGCAGGAACATTTCACACAAAGGCGACCACATTGACATCAGCAGAACACAAGCAACAATAGCACTTTCATCAGCAGAATCAGAACTGTGCGCAATTGGTACAGCGGCACAGGAGAGCCTCTACATCAGCAATTTCATCAAGGAAGCATTTGAGGTACGCACCAACATCAGGATACACACAGACAGCATCAGCACAGGTTGTTAAACAACAGGTGCGCAGTTCACACATGTTTGTTTTACTACCAAACGGCCGGCACATGCTCTTTTTAGCTTTAGGTTGGATCAACCCTGAAGCTTCTACAACCCCCTTTTACATCCTTTGGGACAACAACTTTTGCATGACATTCTGTACATGTTTCCGTCAATGGTTCAGTACATGCTGCAGCCATTTCCTTAGACACTCGGCTTTTACATCAATGGCACATCGCGCATACAATACTTTGCATCCACGGATGATGGTTCCGGACGGATTTACATAGGAACCGGTGGACGTCATCGTTCCGACTTCCCCGGAGGAACCCCAGGATTACACTACGGTGTTGATCCCACTTACAGTGGAACAGTACACCTTCATGACAACTGTTACAACGGAGCAGAATCAGGTACAAAAGATCCCGGGCTACATGCGATGCCCCACATTGGGTTTCGTCGGTATGTTGTGCAGCATCATGGATTGCATTGGCTACATCAGCTGGTTGATACACGAGGGCCATGACAGTACAGTCGACTTGGGCACATTCTTTGTGTACAAGCTCAGCCTGCAGATGTAGACAGCAGAACTGTTTCAGAATGTCTATGAGAAGAGCATTACAGTTTTCAACCGCGGGTACATCGGACAGGTCTTACAGCTGCACAAGGAGTGTACATGGGACCTGACACCTACAGAACGGGCGTCTGGGATTTTCTACAAGCTTACAGGGCACATCGCCAACCTGTACAAGAATTACAATTTGACCAAGGACTACATCATTCTTCAGCACATCATTATCCCTATCGAGAAGGTACTGAATACAAAGCATCCCCTCGACAGGATCCATGCAGGTCTCGATGGCTTTGAACCATCATACATATCCTGCAGTACAGACCATCTCGGAGCCTTTGAAGACAATGGTCATCGAGTACATTGTCCAACATGGAATACAGCTGATGGGAAACAGCACGGACCTGATCCCCGGACAGATTGGGTACAGCGACCAACGCTTGCAGGAGATTGACAGCGCCATGATTTTGTCACAACATCAAGGATACAAGCTGCTCAACAAAAAGAAGGTCATGGACGACAGCACTTGAGTACATCAAGTACATTTTGCCACAATGGCACACCGCAACTCGTGGTATAATTGATCCGACAGCAAGGGACATCGATGTGCAGTACATCTGCTTTCTGGCTATCGCATCATCCCAATCCACAAGGACATTTGTACATTTTGCAAAGTGTGCTAACATAGCAATATTTGAGGAGGGGTGTTAAACACAAAACAGTCTTGCACAGATCGCCTACATGTGACGACCGTTACATGTCGGTACAAGGCCTTGAGCCTAGCCCACGCCGGCAGTACAAAAGATTACAGCCGTGCCGTGTCGTTCGGATTATAGGTTTAACACTTCAGATCAACAGGTTCTACATTCACAACATTGAGTTTAACATCACGGCTCCCCGACTTTCGCCTCTTCGGTCTTGTTCGCCCCGCAGGGCCTCAAAGACTCTGCGCCTCGGCTCGGTGAGGCGGGCGGTCAAAGGTGTTGCGCCTCAACGCCGTTTTTCCGGCGACTCCGAGGACGGCGTTCGGGGGGCTTTGGGCGATGCCGGCTCGACGGCTCGACGCCGTGGAGTCGTGTTCGGAGGTTTTCGGACCAAGAGTGGAATCTCAGGGTGGCTTTGCAGAGGAAGGGCCATTGCAATGAGGATTTCATGTCGACAGTTGAACGGTGAGGTCACGGTTTGTGAAGTTGTGCCAGATATCACCGGTCGGGAACTCAAGGAGCGCATCAAGGAGTGCCAGGTTCGGGATGAAATCGCACGCGAAACAACCCGTGTCGATATTCTTGTGGGGACAAGATTGATGACGAACGACGAGACGGCTGCAGATGCAGGCCTTTCGCCAGAGTCAGAGGTGACCGTAGTATTGAAACAAAACGCTGCGACCTGCTCCCACAAGGCGGAGCTTGACCAATTTGGCGAGGAGATTGACTTGGAGACCGCATTTGTGGTTGAAATCCCAAGCGGTGCTACTGAAATTGTTGAAAACGCATTTACACACTGTGACACTCTGGCACGCGTGACCATTCCGGACTCAGTGACCCACATTGGCGATGGTGCCTTTTTTAGCTGCAGCTCCTTGGTTAGTGTGACCATCCCAGACTCAGTGACCCGGATTGGGCATCTTGCCTTTTTAGGATGCCGCTGTTTGGCAAGCTTGACCATCCCAGACTCAGTGAGCCAGATTGGGACTAATGCCTTTTCAGGATGCAGCTCCTTGGCTAGCGTGACCATCCCAGACTCAGTGACCCGGATTGGGACTAATGCCTTTTCAGCATGCAGCTGTTTGGCTAGTGTGACCATTTCAGACTCAGTGACCCTGATTGGGCATGGCGCCTTTTCAAGATGCAGCTCCTTGGCAAGCTTGACCATTTCAGACTCGGTGACAAACATTGGCGATGGTGCCTTTGAATACTGCAGCTCCTTGGCTAGTGTGACTATCCCAGACTCAGTGACCCGGATTGAGAGTGGTGCCTTTTCAGGATGCTGCCGTTTGGCAAGCTTGAATATCCCAGACTCGGTGACCCACATTGGCGATCGTGCCTTTCAATACTGCAGCTCCTTGGCTAGTGTGACCATCCCAGACTCAGTGACCTGGATTGGGACTAATGTCTTTTCAGGATGCAGCTCGTTGGCTAGCGTGACCATCCCCGACTCAGTGACCTGGATTGGGACTAATGCCTTTTCAGGATGCAGCTGTTTGGCTAGTGTGACCATCCCAGACTCAGTGACCCAGATTGGGAATAATGCCTTTTCAGGATGCAGCTGTTTAGCTAGTGTGACCATCCCAGACTCAGTGGCCCTGATTGGGAATAATGCCTTTTCAGGATGCAGCTGTTTGGCTAGTGTGACCATCCCAGACTCAGTGACCCGGATTCAGATTGGTGTCTTTTCAGGATGCAGCTCGTTGGCTAGTGTGACCATCCCCGACTCAGTGATCCAGATTGCAAAAAATACCTTTGAAAACTGCAACTCCTTAGCTTGTGTGACTGTCCCTGATTGCGTGATTGAGGAGGATGCCTTCGCAGGATGCAGTGCTTTGACTTTGGTCGTTCCCATATCTGGGAGAAGGTTGAGGGTTGCCGCCCTGACGGGCTGCAAGCAGATTCAAGCAAAAGAATGCGCATGTCAAGAGTGCAAGTACAAGTGGTTTCTGAATGGCTGGGTGTGTCCTCGACGGTGGGGATCTTGACCTTCCTCGAGAAGTTTTTTGTAGCACGTTGTACAACTGAATGATGGTTGCACACTGAATCATCTCAATCTCTATACATCCGCGCTGCTTGCGAAAAGGCGGCTGGCTTGCTGCTGGCTCCACAAAGGCATGCCCGGTGACGCTTATATATCACGTTCAACATTCAACATATTTGGTGGGATGCATCCCGCGTCAAGATTGAATCGGCTATGATTTGGACTGATTTAGTCCTCGACCCGGATGGCGCTGTATGTCATCGCTCGCGTTCCCCATCTCGTGGTCGGTCATTTTCCCATGTCCTCTGAGACAAAGAAGGTCTTCTGTCCCCGGGTTTTCAGTGTTAGACACCTTGAATCATTGAATGTGCGGTTCGGGGTGTAAAACAGGGGATTGAACAAAGGGGTGGTGTGTACGGTGCGTCCTTCGGCCGTGCGCTAAGCGGAGCGCCCAGCTCTGTCCGTTGGCTCGTTCGCAGGATCCAAATCTCCGTGCGTCGGCCCACTCTGCTCCTTGGCGGGATGAACTGATGCGCTAGGCCCCCCAGCAATTGGTGCCCTTCTCTCCCGTTTCTTTTTTGGTTGGGAGGGCTCAAACCTACTAAAATAGACTACAGAAAAAGGGTGCTCTTATTCTAAGCTCTCTACTGGAGGAGAATATTCAAAACACAACGACACATGGACGGAAAATGAGCCACTTGTTCAAAACCCGGGTAGATGATCCGGTTGGTAAGGGACAATCCCTGTGCCATGAATAGCTGCAGCCGCCTTCCTTCTTGTTTCTTTACGTGGCTCTGGGATTACGACCCGGGTTTTGATTATGACTCAACTGACTTTCGAAGAGCAACATGCTTCTTCGGCTTTTAAAGGGGCAAAGAGAGCACCGCCGGTGTTTGGTGTTTCCGCTGTCTTCGTATTGCCAATTTTCGACAATTTAGTATTGTCAAGACTCGCTCTCAGATTCCCTGTACCTCATTTACTCTTGCCAATTCCAGACTTGGCAAAACAAGTTTGACATGAAAGCAAACGAACCACGCAACCGCCAGATGAAGCAGATTCAGGGCCTTTTGTGAGCGACGCCCTTTGCGCCAACTGTTTGGCCTTACGGTTTTTAGATAAAAGAAGGTGTCCTAAACAGGGCTCCTTAAAAGATACATTTTTCCCCTTTGACACAAAATAAAGGGAAACCATTTACAAGGCAATGTTCAGGTGTATAATGTAAGGATCCCTGCTAGATACACAAAAAGTTGCCGTCCACTTGCAAACTTATGATTTAGATCCGAGGCCTCTAGGCCTTTGAGCTGTTTTTTTCGGGATTTTTTTCGGCGCTTCCCCGGGTCTTTGCGCACAGCTTGGGGAGAGCACCTGGGTGACCCGGGTTGGTGTTGTGGGGGACGGACGGAACGGGCGTGGGCACGCAGTTGGACGCGGTGAGGCAACTTCAGATTGGCAGATTGCCCTTTGGTGTGGGTTGGGGGGGGACTTGGGGATGCGCAGCAGCCTCACCTCTAAAGCACCGATCCAATGATGCCTTCAAGCTAGCCTTCTGTTTGCTTCGCTTACCAGCGCTCCCAATGTGCGTAGCATGCCATCACATGCGTGGATGAAAGCAGGGCGGAAAAGCCTCAGTCGTGTTTTGTCCCCTCAAGGCATGGCCTTGGAACGGTGCATTCTCCAAATAGAAGCAAGCTTCTCCCCTGTTCCTTACTGTATGCTCTTGTAGCATTCTGAAAGACATTTGGTCATTGCAGTCGTTGCTTGTACGGTTTCTCCAAGTTTGGTCTATTTTGTTTGCGACAGGTGATGATCAAAGGGGCATGTTTGGAAGTCTGGGGAATCAATCAGCATGGGAAAAAGGAAACAGCTTACAAAAGCTCAACTCCGGCTACAACTTGCTGGAGCTCAGTAGGGAGTGACCCGGTTTGGGCATGAAGCGATTGGGATTCCAAAGCATAGGATGGATTTTGATTTTTTCCGGGGGTCTTTCCATTTCTCATTCCCCCATCGAACCCAGGGCAGTGTTGAGTTGAGTTGCCGGCGTATCTCGCCGCACGGCGCATGCGAACGACCCGAGGCCGTTCCCTGGAACTCCCGTGCCTCCGTGGCGCCAGGCCGCCACTTGATGCCGACTCTCGGCTGAAGGCGTCGGGGTTTTTCGACGGGCTCCGTTCCGTTGCGTTTGGTGTGTACCGGTTGCTTGTTGTTCCTTTCCCATGTCTTTTTTTCTGGCCATCCTTCATCCTTCTTGCCTTTTCCCCGAGTTGGGTGGATTTCTGGAAAGGATCCGTGGGGCAGCCATGAGCTAGGATGGTTCCGGGCTTACATCTCCACATGGGTATCCTGCTTTGGGTGGTTTGTAGCGTCAACCAGGTTTGGGGGTGTTCTGTTTGTTTTGCGTTTCAGCTTCTTTCTCCTTTTCGTGCTCTCGCTCTTGCACTTTATTTTTCTCGTGTCCTTTCTCCTTCTCTTGCTTTTGGTCTTGCTCTTGCTCTTGCTTTCTCTCCTTCCCTTTCTCTTTAGCAGGCGCGAGTTTTTTTCGAGAATTCCAAGGAGCAAGACGGATGGCGCGAGCGAGCGTGGATCCTGGGAACCCAAAGAGTTGCCCGGGAACAGAGCTGGAAGCTCATTTGACTTGGCAGTGCTGGCTCTTTTTTGCTTTTTGTTTCGGTTTCTCTTTAGGCTCCCTCTTGATTTTGTCCCCTTCTGGTTGATGCGTGCTTGTATTTGAAGAGTTCCAAACACAGCCAAGAGGATTTCTGGGAAGAAGGATTTCTGGGAAGAATGGCGAACCTACACCAGGTATGATTTTGGGAACTCCTTGTGGCTGGCGTTATATTGCGCAACCAAAAAGCACCGAACGGCAAGCCCGCTTTGTGGTTGACCTTTGCTCCCCTGTCGTCAATCCATTCTTCTATTGTTCTTTGGCCAGGACCCCAAAGGCGTGATTTCCTCTTGGCGGCTTCTTGGAGAGCACGAAATCCGGCAATTCAACCATGCCAGGCGGCCGCATGGCGGCCGCATTGCGGCTCTTGTCTCTGCAAGGCTGGCTGACAGGGGGAATGTGCTGATTTGACAGACGGTCGACATTTTTCACCAACACTGTAGCAACTAGGATGTGGCGCATGCACCTATACCTATCACGCCCAATTGCCATGAGAAAGCAGATGAACACCCCAACCCGAAGATGTCCAGCAAGACAAGATTTCTGAATTCCAGAAGGACCACCCTGAATTACTCTACATTTCTCTGAGCGCACAAAGACACCGAGCCAGATTCCGACTCCCAAAGAATGCCTCGTGACCCCTATCACGGCTGGAATTCCCCCCACACCGTCGGATCTTGGATGGGGAATGGTCAAAGACCTGAGGTTTTTTTGCTGGCCTGATTTGGTCGAGTTCCGGATGCCGCCGTGTTGCATTTGTTCGTTTTTCCTATCTCGATGAAGCAGTCTCCTTGGGCCGAAAGGTGCAAATGGAAGAGAGGGGTTACTCAGACACTCAAGAGATTTCAAGATGTTCATGTCTCGGATTCCCCGGATCTCCGACATTTCATATATAGAGAATGATACATACATGGTATTACGGCCCCGTATTTAAACAAGAAACTGCGCAATCCTTTTATGCCGTAGCTTTGGCTCTTTTCCGTGGGGGAGTGTCTCCTTGCATGGGAGACCCTCCTACCTGCGTTGAGTGCCGAGGTAAGTGGGGCCCTCCTCAAGGGGTCTTGGTGCAAGGATTGCAGGGCCTACGTGAGGATTGGGATCCTGATCAAGGACACGAGCCTCCTTTTCTGCTGGGAGGAAGCGCTCGTGGAGATCCAGGACGTCATTGACATTGGATTGGCCCAGGCATCCTCGGCCCTGAGCACTGGTGGTGAGCCCTCCCAGGTCAGGGAGAGGAGGAGAAGGCTTTCCGGGTGAGAGGAGTGAGGAGCGCTCACGGAGCCGAAGGAGGAGAAAGAAGGCTAGGGATAGCCGGGGACAAAAGACAGCCGCAAGAGCAAGTCCCGACAGAGGGACTACAAGAGGAGGGCAGATCGCTCTCCGAGCGCGAGGCCAAGGAGCTCGGGAAGGAAGAAGAGCACAGAGGAGTCGCCTCTAGAGGAGCCAGAGCTGCCAAAGGAGGAGACGGAGCTGGACAAGGTGAAGAGGGAGAGGTCCCCGACCGAATCTTCTGAGGAGCCGGAGGCGCCAGCAGTAAGACCGCCCAAGACTCCACCACAACCACTCCCAGGAACCCCCGTGGCGCACACAGTCCTGGGCAGGAGCTCAGCCGAAGTGGTTCGGGAAGAGTAATGGAATGACCAAGAGAATCAAGCAGGCGAACTATAGGGAAAAATACATAAACAAGATGCCGCCCAAAGCAAAAGGGAAGGCGCGAGCTCGGGCGAAAGCCAGGGCTCTTCGGAGGCCCGCAGCTGCAGGAGGTGAGATGAGGAGACCGGCAAGAACACATCAATTCCCACCACTTTGCTGTGGAGGGTTCGTGAAATCTCCACTTTATGCTCACCGTTTCTTGCACCTCACGGACTCGCTGGTGGTACTTCACGCGCTGAGCCGGGGGCGTTTGTCAAGTCGAAAACTCAGGCGCGCCATTTGCCGAATGAGTGCTGTCTTGCTTGCCAGTGGACATCAAGCTCTCTGGGGCTATGTCCACACCTCCCAGAACCCCGCCGATCGCCCCTCTCAGGGGCACACGGAAATCATGGGTCGCAAGCAGACAGGATCAAAGTTCGGCAAAAGCTAGGTAAGTTGAAAGACTTGACGGTGCAGCCTCCAACAAGGCAACCGTATGCTAAAGCCCGGCGTGGGTTTTTACAATTTTTTACTCAGAATCAATTAGAGCTGCCCCGGGAGAGGGCGCGCATGGACGCCTTAGTCAGCGATTTTCTCGAGCATCTGTGGAGCACTGGTGAAGGTAGAGGGCTCGCCTGCGACACCGTGGCATCGCTTCAAGACTTTGGCCCCAAGCTGAAGGGTCAGCTGCAAGGGTCTTGGCGGCTTTTAAAGGCTTGGCGTGCCGATGAGATACCTAACCGAGCCCGCCATTGACTGAGAAGATGTTGCAAGCCATGCTATGCCTTGTTCCATGAGTGGTACTCGTTTGCCTTGTCGCTGTGAGAACCTGAGAGTTGCTCGCCCTGAAGAACTCTCACATGGCCATGACTGGGCCTTCGTCGCCCGTTGACCAAAAGCGGTAAGCGGCAAGGAGCTGCCGAAAGTGTTTCAATTGGTGTCATCCCCGTTTTACATTTCCTCTGGCGTTGGAAAGCCCTGTATGAACCCCATAGCCCCCTTGTGACCAAAGGGCATGTGTGGAAACAGCGCTTGGAGTGCCTTGAGAAACTCGGCCTTCAGGATTTGGGACTTAGGCCCGACTCTTTGAGACGTGGGGGGGGGCCACATTTTGGTTCTCTAGACATGGGAACTTTGACAAGTTGCTCCAACAGGGACGTTGGGCAGCCGCTCGCACCGCTCGCATATATCAAATTGAAGGGTTGGCCCTCATGAGTGAGATGAAAGTTTCAGCGAAACTTTTGCTACCATTTCTCGGAATATTTCAGAATTCGAGGTTTCAGCCAACGCTTGAGCGTCCTCGTAAGAGGAGGCCAGGGGGGGGGACGTGGAAAGCAAAGAAAAAGGGGTGCTTTGGCACAGGCATTCCCCAGCTGCGCACGAGGCCCAGGCTAGCTTCGGTTTGGCGGAGCTACCTGGGGGGCGCGGGGCGGGCATCACGCCAAGCCGGAAAAGAGTGGTGTTCGGGGCCCCTCTTTTCTGTTGCCCATGGATGGGCTGGCCAAGGGGGCCATTGTACTGGGGAAGAGTACCTGAACTTGCTTTCTTTATTAATATGACAACTACCTGCTTGCTGATGCACCATCAAAAGGAGCGCAGTTGAGTGTTTACATATATATCTATATATAGACATATTCGCGGCTCCCCGACTTTCGCCTCTTCGGTCTTGTTCGCCCCGCAGGGCCTCAAAGACTCCGCGCCTCTCGGTGAGGCTGGCGGTCAAAGGTGTTCCGCCTCAACGCCGTTTTTGCGGCGACTCCGACGACGGCGTTCGATGCCGGCTCGACGGCCTCGGAGTCGTGTTTGCGGATCTTGGGGGTTTTCGGACCAAGAAAGGAATCTCAAAATATTGACTTTGTAGAGACCCGCCATGGCAATGAGGATTTCATTTCGACAGTTGAACGGTGAGGAAACGGTTTGTGAAGTTGTGCCAGATATCACCGGTCGGGAACTCAAGGAGCGCATCAAGGAGTGCCAGCTTTGGGATGATGTCACACGCGAAACAACCCGTGTCGACATTCTTGTGGGGACAAGATTGATGACGAACGACGAGACGGCTGCAGATGCAGGCCTTTCGCCAGAGTCAGAGGTGACCGTAGTATTGAAACAAAACGCTGCGACCTGCTCCCACAAGGCGGAGCTTGACCAATTTGGCGAGGAGATTGACTTGGAGACCGCATTTGTGGTTCAAATCCCAAGCGGTGCTACTGAAATTGTTGAAGATGCATTTGAAGACTGCGACACTCTGGCACGCGTGACCATTCCGGACTCAGTGACCCACATTGGCGCTGGTGCCTTTGAAGGATGCAGCTCCTTGGCTAGTGTGACCATCCCAGACTCAGTGACCCGGATTGGGCCTGCTGCCTTTGCAGACTGCAGCTCCTTGGCTAGTGTGACCATCCCAGACTCAGTGTCCTGGATTGGGCGTGCTGCCTTTCCAGGATGCAGCTCCTTGGCTAGTGTGACCATCCCAGACTCAGTGACCCAGATTGGCTATGGTGCCTTTCAACGATGCAGCTCCTTGGCTAGTGTGACCATCCCAGACTCAGTGACCCAGATTGGCGAAGGTGCCTTTCAACACTGCAGCTCCTTGGCTAGTGTGACCATCCCAGACTCAGTGACCAGATTGGCGATGAGGCCTTTTCAGATTGCAGCTGCTTGGCTGGTGTGACCATCCCCGGCTCAGTGACCCACATTGGCGATCTTGCCTTTGAAAGGTGTAGTTCTTTGGCTAGTGTGACCATCCCAGACTCAGTGACCCTGATTGCGCATAGCGCCTTTGAAAGCTGCAGCTTGTTGGCTAGTGTGACCATCCCCGACTCAGTGACCCACATTGGCGATCGTGCCTTTAAAAGCTGCAGCTCCTTGGCTAGTGTGACCATCCCAGACTCAGTGACCCAGATTGGCAATAATGCTTTTTCAGGATGCAGCTCCTTGGCTACTGTGACCATCCCCGGCTCAGTGACCCACATGGGCTGTTGTGTCTTTAAAGACTGCAGCTCCTTGGCTAGTGTGACCATCCCAGACTCAGTGACCCAGATTGATTTCAATGCCTTTGCAGGCTGCGGCTCGTTGGCTAGCGTGACCATCCCCGACTCAGTGGAAAGGATTTTGACAAATGCCTTTAAAAGCTGCGTCTCCTTAACTTGTGTGACTGTCCCTGATTGCTTTATTGAGGAGGATGCCTTCGCAGGATGCAGTGCTTTGACTTTGGTCGTTCCCATATGTGGAAAAAGGAGAAGGTTGAGGGTTGCCGCCCTGACGGGCTGCAAGCAGATTCAAGCAAAATAATGTGCATGCCAAGAGTGCGAGTACAAGTGGTTTCTGAATTGCTGGGTGTGTCCTCGACGGTGGGGATTTTGAGCTTGCTCGAGAAGCTTTTTGTAGCACGTTGTATAACTGAATGATGGTTGCACACTGAATGATCTGAATCTCTATACATCCGCGCTGCTTGCGAAAAGGCGGCTGGCTCGCTGCTGGCTCCACAAAAGCATGCCCGGTGACGCTTATATAGCACGTTCAATATTCTGGGATGCATCCGGCGGGGTCAAATTTGAATCGGATATGATTTGCAGGACTGATTTGGTCCTCGACCCGGATGGCGCTGTATTTCATTGCTCGTGTTCCCCATCTCGTGTGGTCATTTTCCAATGTCCTCTGGGGGGAGAAGGCCTTCTGTCCCGGGGCGAATTGTTCAATTTTGAATCGGTTCGGGGTGTCAAACAGGGGATTGAACAAAGGGGTGGTCCGTCCTTCGGCCTCCTAGGGAAGGTTCCAATCGTGCTCTGAGCGCCCAGCTCTGTCCGTTGCGGGCTCGTTCGCAGGCCAAATCTCCAAGTCGGCCCTGCACTCTTCTTGGGCAAGGCCTGGCGGGACGAACTGATGCACTAGGTCCCTAGCTAGGTGCCCTTCTCTCCCAACTTTTTTGGTTGGGAGGGTTCCCCTACTAAAATAGACTACAGAAAAAGGTGCCCTTATTCTAACCTCTCTACTGGAGGACGTGGTGAATATTCAAAAGGACACATGGATGGAAAATCAGCCTCCCCGGGTAGATGAAGGTTAGTAAGGGGCAATCCCCTTGCCATGAATAGCTGCGGCCGCCTTCCTTCTTGTTTCTTTACGTGGTTCTGGGATTACGACCCGGGTTTTGATTATGACTCAACTGACTTTCGAAGAGCAACATTTTCCTTCGGCTTTTAAAGGGGCAAAGAGAGCACCGCCGGTGTTTGGTGTTTCCGCTGTCTTCGTATTGCCAATTTTCGACAATTTAGCATTGCCAAGACTCGCTCTCAGATTCCCTGTGCCTCATTTACTCTTGCCAATTCCAGATTTAGCAAAACTATGAAAGCAAACGAACCACGCAACCCCCAGATGAAGCAGATTCAGGGCCTTTTGTGAGCGACGCCCTTTGCGCCAACTGTTTGGCCTTACGGCTTGTAGATAAAAGAAGGTGTCCCAAATCCGAAGAAACAAAAAGCTGCTTTGCCTTGCAAAATTATGACTTGGATCCGAGGCCTCTAGGCCTTTGAGCCGTTTTTTCGGGATTTCTTTCGGCGTTTTTTCCTCGGGTCTTTGCCCAAAAGGCTTGGGGAGAGCACCTGACCCGGGTTGGTTTTGGGACGGACGGGGCGGGCCTGGGCCTTGGACGCGGTGAGGCGTGGCTTCGGATTGGCAGATTGCCCAATGGCGTGGGTTGGGGGGAACTTGATGCGCTACAGCCTCACCTCAGCACCGATATGATCAAAATTCAAGCTAGCCTTCTGTTTGGTCCTCTCGCGCTCCCAATGTGCGCATCACATGGTCATTGCAGTCGTTGCTTGTACGGTTTCTCCAAGATGCGCGCGGTTTTGTCCATTTTGTTTAGGTGATGATCAAAGGGGCATGTTTGGAAGTCTGGGGAATCAATCAACATGGGAAAAAGGAAGCAGCTTACAAAAGCTCAACTCAGGGCTACAACTTGCTGGAGCTCAGTAGGGAGTGACCCGGTTTGGGCATAAACCGATTGGGATTCCCTGAAAGCATAGGATGGAAGGTGTTGTTTTTTCATTCCATTCATTTCTCATTCCCTGCCCATCGAACCAAGGGAAGTGTTGTGTGAGTCGAGTTGCCAGCGTATCTGTTCCAGGGGTCTTGTTGCAACCTTTGAGAAAATTGGCGACCTATCTGCCCCCTCAAAAAGGAATCCATTTTTCACCAGGAAATGGTCGATCCCCCTCATTTTTCCCCCAAAGGGACCAGGAATCCATTTTTCCCCGCAGAATTGGGCCAAGAAGGATTTCTGGGAATATCTGGGAATGGCGAACCTACACCAGGTACAATTTTGGGAACTCCTTGTGGCGTTATATTGCGCAACCAAAAAACACCGAACGGCTTTGCCCATTTGTATGACGGACTGGTTCATTCAAGCTCACAACGCGTTGTGGTCCTGGCCGGCATGTTGACCTTTGCTCCCCTGTCGTCAATCCATTTGTCTATGTTCTTTGGCCAGGACCCCAACGGCAGTTTGACGCAGCGTGATTTCCGCTTGGCGGCTCCCTGGTTTGACGCGTATTTATTGGAGAGCATGACTGCCCGACCAACAAACAATTCAACCATGCCAGGCGGCCGCAGGGCGGCCGCATTGCGGCTCTTGTCTCTGCAAGGCTGGCTGACAGGGGGAATGTGTTGATTTGACAGACGGTCGACCTTTTTCACCAACATGTACTGCAGCAACTAGGATGTGGTGCATGCACCTATACCTATCACGCCCAATTGCCATGAGAAAGCAGATGAACACCCCAACCCGAAGATGTCCAGCAAGACAAGATTTTTGAATTCCAGAAGGACCACCCTGAATTACTCTACATTTCTCTGAGCGCACAAAGACTCCGAGCCAAATTCCGACTCCCAAAGAATGCCTCGTGACCCCTATCACGGCTGGAATTCCCCCCACACGGTCGGATCTTGGATGGGGAATGGTCAAAGACCTGAGGTTTTTTGCTGGCCTGATTTGGTCGAGTTCTGGATGCCGCTGTGTTGCATTTGTTCGTTTTTCCTATCTCGATGAAGCAGCTCCTTGGCTAGTGTGACCATCCCCGACTCAGTGACCAAGATTAGTGTTCATGCCTTTGCAGGATGCCGCTCCTTGGCAAGCTTGACCATCCCAGACTCAGTGACCCAGATTGGCGATGGTGCCTTTCAAAACTGCAGCTCCTTGGCTAGTATGACCATCCCAGACTCGGTGACCCAGATTGGCTATGGTGCCTTTCAAAGCTGCAGCTCCTTGGCTGGTGTGACCATCCCCGACTCAGTGATCCAGATTGAGGGTGGTGCCTTTTCACAATGCAGCTCCTTAGTTAGTGTGACCATCCCCGACTCAGTGACCCAGATTGGCCGTGGTGCCTTTCAATACTGCAGCTCCTTGGCTAGTGTGACCATCCCAGAGTCAGTGACCCAGATTGGCGATGGTGCCTTTTCAAGATGCAGCTCCTTGGCTAGTGTGACCATCCCAGACTCGGTGACCCAGATTGGCTATGGTGCCTTTCAATACTGCAGCTCCTTGGCTAGTGTGACCATCCCCGACTCAGTGATCCAGATTGCGAAAAATGCCTTTCGACACTGCAGCTCCTGAGCTTGTGTGACTGTCCCTGATTGCGTGATTGAGGAGGATGCCTTCGCAGGATGCAGTGCTTTGACTTTGGTCGTTCCCATATCTGGGCGAAGGTTGAGGGTTGCTGCCCTGACGGGCTGCAAGCAGATTCAAGCAAAAGAATGTGCATGTCAAGAGTGCGAGTACAAGTGGTTTCTGAATGGCTGGGTGTGTCCTCGACGGTGGGGAACTTGACCTTCCTCGAGAAGCTTTTTGTGGCACATTGTATAACTGAATGATGGTCGCACACGGAATCATCTCAACCGCACTGCTTGCGAAAAGGCGGCTGGCTTGCTGCTGGCTCCACTTGTGGGCATGCCCAGTGACGCTTATGTATCACGTTCATTCAAAATACTTGGGATGCATCCCGCGTCAAGTTTGAATCGGATATGACTTGGACTGATTTGGTCCTCGACCCGGATGGCGCTGTATGTCATCGCTCGTGTTTCCTATCTCGTGTGGTCATTTTCCAATGTCCTCTGAGTTGAATCTGCGGCTCGGGGTGTCAAACAGGGGATTGAACAAAGGGGTGGTGCGTCCTCCTTCTGCCTCCTTTAAGGGAATGTTCCAATCGTGCGCTGCCCAGCTCTGTCCGTTGCGCCCTGCACTCTGCTTCCTTGGGCAAGGCCTGGCGGGATGAACTGATGCCCCAGCAATTGGTGCCCTTCTCTCCCGTTTCTTTTTTGGTGAGGGTTCAAACCTAGTAAAATAGCCCTTATTCTAACCTCTCTACTGGAGGACGTGGTGAATATTCAAAAGGACACATGGATGGAAAATGAGCCACAGGCTCAAAACCCAGGTAGATGGTTAGGTTAGTACGGGACAATCCCAACTTAACCATAAAGAGCTGCGGATCCCCGCCTTCTTATTTATTTAAGCATGGTTCTGGGATTATGATTATGACTCAACTGACTTTCGAAGAGCAACATTTTTCTTCGGCTTTTGAAGGGGCAAAGAGAGCACCGACGGTATTTGGTGTTTCCGCGGTCTTAGTATTGCAATTTTCGACAATTTATTGTTCCAAGACTCGCTCTCAGATTCCCAGTACTTCATTTACTCTTGCCAATTCCAGCTTTAGCAAAACAAGTTTGACATGAAAGCAAACGAACCACGCAACAGCCAGATGAAGCAGATTCACGGCCTCTTGTCGGTAACGCCCTTTGCGCCAACTGTTTGGCCTGACGTTTTTTGATAAGAGAAGGTGTCCGAAATACATAAAACAAAAGGCTGCTTTGCCCTGCAAAATTATGGTTTGGATCCGAGGCCGCTTGGCCCTTGAGCCATTTTTTTCTCGGGTTTTTTTCCGGCGTTTTTTTTCTTGTTGTTTTTTTCTGCGGGTCTTTGCCCAGAGCTTGGGGAGACCACCTGACCCAGGTTGGTTTTGGGACGGTTGCGTGGCTTGGACGCGGGCTTTTGGACGCGAGGCAACTTCAGATTGGCGGATTCCCCTGTGGTGTGGGTTGGGGGGGGAACTTGGGGATGCGCAACAGCCTCACCTCTAAAGCACCAATCCAATGAATCCTTCAAGCTAGCCAGGGAATCAATCAGCATGGGAAAAAGGAAACAGCTTACAAAAGCTTCACTCAGGGCTACAACTTGCTGGAGCTCAGGGAGTGACCCGGTTTGGGCATGAACCGTTTGGGATTCCCTGAAAGCACAGGATGTTTTTTTTGTTGTTTTCATTTTTTCCGGTCATTCCGAATTCATTTGTCCAAGGGAAGTGTTGAGTCGAGTTGCCGCTGGGCATGAACCTTTTGTTTTTTCTCGGGGTCAGTCCATTCATTTCTCATTCCCTGCCCATCGAACCAAGGGAAGTGTTGTGTGAGTCGAGTTGCCAGCGTATCTGTTCCAGGGGGGTCTTGCCACCTGTGAGAAAACTGGCGACCATGTTTCCCCTCAAAAAGGAATCCTTCAGTACAAGGGGGTCGATCATTTTTCCCCCAAAGGTGGCAAAAAGACCCCCCTGATCTGTTCATCTCGCCAGGCCGCCACGTGAAAGACTCTCGGCTGAAGGCGTCGGGATTTTGACGGTTCGGTTCCGTTCGAGGTGGTGCCGGTTGCTTTTTTCCTTTTTTTTCTGGCCATCCTTCATCCTTCTTGCCGTTTCCCCGAATTGGGTGCATTCTGGAAAGGATCCGCGGGGCAGCCATGAGCTAGGATGGTTCAAAGCTTACATCTCCACATGGGTATCCTGCTTTGGGTGGTTTGTAGCGTCAATCATGTTTGGGGGTGTTCTGTTCGTTTTGCGTTTCAGCTTCTTTCTCCTTTTCGTGCTCTCGCTCTTGCACTTTTTTTTCTCGTGTCCTTTCTCCTTCTCTTGCTTTTGGTCTTGCTCTTGCTTTCTCTCCTTCCCTTTCTCTTTAGCAGGCGCGAGTTTTTTTTTACAGAAGTCCAAGGAACAAGACGGATGGCGCGAGTGAGCGTAGATCCTGGGCACCCAAAGAGTTGCCCGGGAACAGAGCTGGAAGCTCATTTGACTTGGCAGTGCTGGCTCTTTTTTGTTTGTTTTGGTTTCTCTTTAGGCTCCCTCTTGATCTTGGGTTGCTTTGGGTTTATTTTGTCCCCTTCTGGTTGATGCGTGCTTGTATTTCAAGAGTTCCAAACACAGCCAAGAGGGTTGGTTGCGCAAACAACCAACCCCTGGTTCCTTGAAAAGTGAAGGCAAACTCATTTTGTTCCAGGGGGGGGGCAAAGAGGCCCAACAGCGCTGGTCCGACTGGCATAGAGACCAACTTTGGACTGGACGGACTTGGGACAGGATGCTCATTTGTTGGCTCTGTTGTAGGTCATTGCTGTGTTGCTGGCCTGAGCTCTGATTGTTCCAGGCGCCCCAGAGGGTTGATTTCCCAATCATTGCAGTTATGATGTTCATTGTGTAGAATGGGCAAGGAAACCCCAGATAATCCCAGGCGGGTTGTTTTCGGGCGTTCTTTAACTTTGCATGCACGGTGCCTTTTTTGAGCGGGCAAAATGCGCGGGGTAGGATGCATACGGCAGACGCATGGTGTCCCTTGACAGCAGCACGTCGTTCCGAGGTTGGTTGTTTTGCTGTTGTCGTTCTTGGTGTTTCTCAAGGGGCACAGCTTTGCTGTTGTCTTACTTGGTTTGGTTGTTTGCTTGCCGTTTGTTCTGCATTGTTCGAGTGACCCAGCCTCCAACCAAGATGTTGAGCTGCTCCTATTTCCCCGATCCCTCCGTCTTTTGGGCTGGCCGGCGCGATTCGGGTGTGTCTGTCGTCCTGTTTGATTCCTTTCCATGTTTGTCGACCATCCAAAACAACAAACCAGCCGTTTCCCGCAGAATTGGGCCAAGAAGGATTTCTGGGAATGGCGAACCTACACCAGGTACGATTTTGGGAACTCCTTGTGGCGTTATATTGCGCAACCAAAAAGCACCGAACGGCTTTGCCCATTTGTATGACGGACTGGTTCATTCAAGCACACAACGCGTTGTGGTCCTGGCCGGCATGTTGACCTTTGCTCCCCTGTCGTCAATCCATTTGTCTATGTTCTTTGGCCAGGACCCCAACGGCAGTTTGACGCAGCGTGATTTCCGCTTGGCGGCTCCCTGGTTTGACGCGTATTTCTTGGAGAGCATGACTGCCCGACCAACAAACAATTCAACCATGCCAGGCGGCCGCAGGGCGGCCGCATTGCGGCTCTTGTCTCTGCAAGGCTGGCTGACAGGGGGAATGTGTTGATTTGACAGACGGCCGACCTTTTTCACCAACATGTACTGTAGCAACTAGGATGTGGTGCATGCACATACCTATCACGCCCAATTGCCATGAGAAAGCAGATGAACACCCCAACCCGAAGATGTCCAGCAAGACAATATTTTTGAATTCCAGAAGGACCACCCTGAATTTCTCTACATTTCTCTGAGCGCACAAAGACACCGAGCCAAATTCCGACTCCCAAAGAATGCCTCGTGACCCCTATCACGGCTGGAATTCCCCCCACACGGTCGGATCTTGGATGGGGAATGGTCAAAGACCTGAGGTTTTTTGCTGGCCTGATCAGGTCGAGTTCCGGATGCCGCTGTGTTGCATTTGTTCGTTTTTCCTATCTCGATGAAGCAGTCTCCTTGGGCCGAAAGGTGCAAATGGAAAAGAGGGGTTACTCAAACACTTTCGGAGACTCTTCGGCCTTCTCAAGAGATTTCAAGACGTTCAAGTGACCCATCGCATGTCTCGGATTCCCCGGATCTCCGACAATTCATATATAAAGAATGATATATATATATATATATACATATTCGCAGCTCCCCGACTTTCGCCTCTTCGGTCTTGTTCGCCCCGCAGGGCCTCAAAGACTCTGCGCCTGGGCTCGGTGAGGCGGGCGGTCAAAGGTGTTGCGCCTCAACGCCGTTTTTCCGGCGACTCCGACGACGGCGTTCGGGGGGCTTTGGGCGATGCCGGCTCGACGGCTCGACGGCTCGACGCCGTGGAGTCGTGTTTGCGGATTTCGGAGGTTTTCGGACCAAGAGTGGAATCTCAGGGTGGCTTTGCAGAGGAAGGGCCATGGCAATGAGGATTTCATTTCGACAGTTGAACGGTGAGGTCACGGTTTGTGAAGTTGTGCCAGATATCACCGGTCGGGAACTCAAGGAGCGCATCAAGGAGTGCCAGGTTCGGGATGAAATCACACGCGAAACAACCCGTGTCGATATTCTTGTGGGGGAGAGATTGATGACAAACGACGAGACGGCTGCAGATGCAGGCCTTTCGCCAGAGTCAGAGGTATCCGTAATATTGAAACAGAACGCTGTGACCTGCTCCGACTCGGGGGAGCTTCACCAATTTGGCGAGGAGATTGACTTGGAGACCTCATTTGTGGTTGAAATCCCAAGCGGTGCTACTGAAATTGTTGACGGCGCATTTACATACTGTAACACACTGGCACGCGTGACAATTCCGGACTCAGTGACCCACATTGGCGATGGTGCCTTTTTTTGCTGCAGCTCCTTGGTTAGTGTGACCATCCCAGACTCAGTGACCCGGATTGGGCATGATGCCTTTTCACAATGCAGCTCCTTGGCTAGTGTGACCATCCCAGACTCAGTGACCCAGATTGGCAATCGTGTCTTTGAAAACTGCAGCTCCTTGGCTAGTGTGACCATCCCAGACTCAGTGAGCCAGATTGGCGGTGCTGCCTTTTCAGGATGCAGCTCCTTGGCTAGTGTGACCATCCCAGACTCAGTGACCCGGATTGGGCATCCTGCCTTTTCAGGATGCCACTGTTTGGCAAGCTTGACCATCCCAGACTCAGTGACCCAGATTGGCAATGGTGTCTTTGAAAACTGCAGCTCCTTGGCTAGTGTGACCATCCCCGACTCAGTGACCAAGATTCGTGTTCATGCCTTTGCAGGATGCCGCTCCTTGGCAAGCTTGACCATCCCCGACTCAGTGATCCAGATTGCGAAAGATGCCTTTAAAAGCTGCGTCTCCTTAGCTTGTGTGACTGCCCCTGATTGTGTGATTGAGGAGGATGCCTTTGCAGGATGCAGTGCTTTGACTTTGGTCGTTCCCATATCTGGGAGAAGGTTGAGGGTTGCCGCCCTGACGGGTTGCAAGCAGATTCAAGCAACATAATGCGCATGTCAAGAGTGCGAGTACAAGTGGTTTCTGAATGGCTGGGTGTGTCCTCGACGGTGGGGATCTTGACCTTTGAGAAGCTTTTTGTAGCACGTTATATAACTGAATGATGGTCGCACACCGAATCATCTCACCTCTGTACATCCGCGCTGGCTTGCTGCTGGCTCAAAGGCATGCCCGGCGACGCTTATATGGGTATGGGGCAAATTAAACCACCAGGACCGCAGGTTTTGGTCCATGTTTCCACGTACGAGGGTTCCATTTTGGGGTACCTATGTTTGACCCACAGCCATATATCACGTTTAACGTTCAACTGATTTGCAGGACTGATTTGGTCCTCGACCCGGATGGCGCTGTATTTCAATGCTCGTGTTTCCCATCTCGTGTGGTCATTTTCCCATGTCCTCTGAGAAGAGGAAGGTCTTCCGCGTTTTTTTTTTCCCCCCCGACACCAAAGGACTCTGCTCGGGGTGTCAGACAGATTGAACCAAGGGCTGCGTCCTCCGACCCGTTTGGGAAGGTTCCAGTTGCTGGTTCGTAGGCTCCTTGCCCTCTCCGCTTGGGGGCCCGGGATGAACTGGGTCCGGCAATTGGTGCTCTTGCCCGTTTGGGTGCCCGTATTCTAACCTCTCTGGAGGACTTGGTGAATATTCAAAAGGAGACATGGAAAGCGACTTTTGCAGAGCAATCTTTTCTTCGGCCTAAGGGGTAAAGGGAGCGCCGGTGTTTGGTGTTTCTGTCTTCGTATTGCTGCCAATTCCAGATTTCGCAAAACAGGTTTGACAGGAAGCAAACAAACCACGCAACAGCCAGATGAAGCAGATTCAGGGCCTCTTGTGAGCGAAGCCTTTCGCAAACTGTTTGGCCTTTACGGTTTTTATCACGATACACAGTTGTCCTAAATAAGATGTTTTCCCTAAATACGACAAAGTTTTATCTATGTAAGATAAGTTGTCCCAAATACGGAAAAAGTTGCGGTCCACTTCCAAAATTATGATTTAGATCCAAGGCCATCCGAGGGCCTTTGAGCGACGTTTTTTGTTTTGTGCTTGTCTTCTTTCCCCGGGCCTTTGCCCAAAGCTTCCTGGCGGCCAGCGGGGTGGACACGGGTGGGTTGCGTGGCTTGGACGGGGCTGGACGCGAGGCAACTTCAGATTGCAGATTGGATTTTGGTGTGGGTTGGCGGGAACTTGGGGATGAGCAACAGCCTCACTTCAGCAGCGATCCAATGATCAAGATTCAAGGTAGCCTTCTGTTTGGTTACCAGCGCTTCCAATGTGCGTAGCATCACATACCTTGCGATCAAAGCAGGGCCGAAAAGTCGCTTCTTTGAATCTAGTTCCCAGCCATATGGCGGTGGTTGTCAAAACCAATGGGATCCCATTTTGGGGCTTTCGGTGCACCACCCATTTGAGTCTATTTTAGTGGGGCTTGGGATATTTCTAGGGTTGATTCCCCATTCTTTTCAACCATCGTTCTTTTCAAAAACCGGTCGTTTTCACTGGGTTTCTTGAGGTTTTCTAGAAAGATTCGGATCCCTGGGTTCAGAATGGAAATGGACCCCTAGAATGTTCACTGGGGCTACGATTTGGATTTTGCCCCGTGGCCCACGTGGCCGCCGCCGTTTGCTTCGCAAACCTTGAGCCGCCGTTTTGCGCCGGGCTTTCCGATGGCAGAGAAGCTGTGACTGAGGCAGCCTTCACCAAGCATTTCAGTTGGCTGGCCCAAGTGCCGGGTTTTGCTTTGGTTCTGACTTGACAACCCAGTGCAGGAAGGGCAATTCCCATCCCATCCCCCCCAAAAAACACACACATCCAGACCAAGAAACAAAAAAAAACAAAAAACAAAAACAAAAAAAACGGTGGGTTGCTGCACTTGCATCTCTGAAGCGGCCTCGAGATGGAGATGTCGAAGCTTCCGAAAGGCCTTCGATGCTTTGAAGTACCTGGCTGTACAGGCAAGATTCTGCAGGGTGGCGCAGATGCGGTGCGGCCGGTTCGTGGGGACGTTCAGGTCACCTGGGCCGGACATTCGCAGAATTCTTTGATATGACTGTGGTGGTCAAAAATAGGGTAACCCCAAAATCAAGACGGAACCCTGGAAAATGGAACCAAGGACTAAAGCCGCGGTCCAATTGATGGTGATTTAATTTTAACCCATACCCATATTGGGGTCATTGTGTCTGACACCGGTACTTGCGTTAGCAATGCTAGTAATCATTTTCTGACAGAAATCTGTCGCGGAGTCCTGGATCAAGTCAGAGTCACCAAATTATTTTGCCTGCCCTACCATTCCACCAAGGTGATCGTCAATTGCGCACGCCGTTCCGGAGATTCGAAAGTGGAATCAGGGCCTGGCCAAGATGTGTATTGGCTTCCAATGACGGAAGCCAACATGCAGGAGGCTTCTCGTAGATACCTGCAGGAATATGGACCACGCCTAGTGGATACCTGGCTCCGGGAGCGCTTTTGTTGCGCGCTTGTGCGCTGAAGCGTGTTTTTGTTTGAGGCGGCCCAGGAGTGGTTGAGCGGCGCGCAAGAAGTGACTCTTGCGTCGCAGCTAAGGAGGCACTGCGATCTGGGAAGGTCATTGCTGTCCACTGCTGCTGGGCTTAAGACAGTCTGGCTTGAAGTTGGGCTCCAGTAGCATTCACATCACTTACCTTAAGTTTGAACTTATGGCGTGTGGCGTGGTTCAAATCTGGTATGGGTCTGTTGTTTTTTGGGTCCCCCTCTTTTTGGTGGTTTTCAAGAGACGCCAAAAGGAATCATCAGTTTGAGGGGCCCCCTTTAGAAAGACAGACCCATGTGAGGTGCATCCAAGTTGCTCTCCTGTGTATGCTGAGGTCAAGAAGGAGTGCACCGATCTGTTGAGTTTGCCAAGCAGCTTCAATCATTTGCAAGCCATGGTGAACTTGCTGAAGCTTGTCCCAGTATCTTTGCAGCAAGTCGAATGTGTCTTTATTAGGGGAGCCCCCCCTCCAAAAAAAAGAAGCTCAGATGATATCCCCAACAGCACGCGGTGCTTTTTTTTTCCGCTGCGGCCGGCAGCCCGGGGAGCAAACCGATCCAAGCCACCAATCCTGGCGCGCCGCCGGTTTTGCCCGGCGCAGCCGGGTGCCAGCGGGCCCTGACAACCCGACGGCGCCGACTAGGCAGCCTTCACCTGGTGAAAGCTATGGCACCCAAGCCACCAGCCCGCAGAACCTTGTCACAAGGGTTTCGTGGAGCCTTTGCAGAACCCTTGTGGAACTGTGGAACCCTGTGGAACCCCACCCCGCAGAAGCCTGTTCGTGGAAGTGGAACTTTGGTGGAACCCTCGTGGAAGCCTCGTAACCTTACCTCAGGACCGCCTCGAGCCCCGCAGCCCTGGCAAAACCTCGTGGATCCCTCGTGAAACCGGTGGAACCCTGGTAGAAACCTTCGCACCTTATCTCACCGCCCCGGACCACCCCGGAGCCTATCTGGGCTCATCGACCCCAAAGCTTTCAGCTGTTGGTTGGAAAAACACTAGAAACACATGACATGTACGGTTGTTCTTTTGGTTTGATTTTGGAGCCACGAACAAGGGGTGCCCTGAAAAACAGACGAACCCCCCATTTGGCTTCTGAGTTCTCTGGTTCCAGCCACTCAAAAAATCGCGGCATGTTCGATCTGAGTGCCTGTTGTGCAGGCAAGCTTGAATCTCTCCAAGAAGCTGGGGAAGAGGCCCCTCAGCGGCAAATGAAATGCGTTTTGCTTTTGGGTTGTTGTGAATCTTGACGCGCTGAAGACGTTTTGACCACCAGCGCCCGGGTCTTGACAGCTGCTGTTTCCAAGGACTACGAAACCACGTGTTGAAAAAGCAGCGTTTGCTGTGGACCCGGGGGCTGATTTCTGATTGTAAGTTGTGTTCTTGATTTCCGTCGATGAGGAAGAGGAGGAGGAGTGCTAAGTCCCAGATGTTTCTCAACGGGTTCGCCGTATCGATCGCCGGCCAAAAAAAAGCCGCCGAGAAACACACCGGGATGAACTCCGCGGCGCGGTTGCGATAAATTTCCCCCGCGAAGATGGAGGTGGATGGGGCAGTGCTCTTTGAAGCTCAGTCGGTCACACCTCGGCTTGGTAATTTCGTTGGAAAAGGCCAGCGCGCTTCTTCACTCACGGCATGTCACCTCTTGACACCTCCGACTTGTCAGGCTGATGGAGGCGAGAGTCGTGTGACTGGTGACCCCAGAAACTGGTTCCTGGTTTTCGGTGCATGGCGTTTGGTGTGACAGAGATCGGACCCCTTGGATGGTAAAGGGAAACCAAAAGGAAACCAACCACCCGGATGAGGTCCCGATTTCTTGGTTTGTGAGCTGTGGCCGCCGGTGGCTGAATCAATTCGGAAGATGTCTCAGCGGGGGAACTCTCGGCAATTTTCGCATGTTGTGATCTGTTTTGATCCCACGCTGTGATGCTTTCAATCCTCCACTTCCTTTTTTTTCTTTTTCGGGCGCCCCCAAAATGGCTTCGGCGGCTCCAAAAACGGGGCGCCCTCAAAAGAAGACACGCCTTTGCTTTCAGAAGGGGCGGCCAGGCCTTCGAACCTCGGCGGATTCCCTGGGCCGCCGGGTGGGCGAAAGCGAGAAAGAGGAAGATGCTGTCGGCCAAAGGCGTTTTGCAAAGCCCAAGGAAGATTTGTGTTCCTGGACACAGCTACCCAAAAGGGAATCCGGCCCAGGAGTTTGGGGCAATAGCCCGAGGGCATTTCGAGGGTCCAGGTGGGCATCTAGTTTCGGTATAAAGAGATTTGTGCCTCAATGCGAGAGCAGCTAGATTTAGATTTGATCAACCCTTTGTTTTTGTTCATTCTGAAAAAATGTAATTGGATATCAAAAGCCCGTTTTGGGTGGAAAAGATTGGTCGCTAGGGTCATTGACCAAATGATCAATGTGCTTGACATGAGAGGATCTAGCCCAGTGTGGATCATTGAGCAAATGGGAGTCGGCCACTGGAGGCACGGCCACTGGAAGGTCCCGTTTTTGGCCGAGGATTTTGCATCGAGGGTTTCCCAAGCAGACGTGCATAAGACTTGTATACAGCCCAACCATGTTCCGAGGGTCGAGTTTAAGTCCAACGGGCCCCAATGCCCCCTGAAAATAGCAAGTGGGACGACAACGGCCAGCCGGCAAGTCTGTGCTATGGTCTCCTGGGATTTCCGGTGGGTTGCACGAGATGTTAATTTTCTCAAGGGCGGTCCGGAGCTACAATGGCAGCCGCCCTCGTTTAAGCGAATTCGCACTATGTTTCGCTCGCCCGAGGCCGTCTTTTTTGGTCTGTATTTTGCTGGTTGGTTTTCGAGCATCACCAGAATGAATCCTTGTTGTTGTATTCCAAGCATCACCAGGCGGTTTCAGCAAGTCAAACATCACCATAGGGGGAGAAAACAACTCAAAATCCGAAGACCCTTGCTGACGGCTGGGGCCCTCTTTTTTCCAGAGGGCTCAAGCAAATGGAGGACACCCGAAAACCAAGGAACCTTTTTCCTCTGTCGCATTGACAAAAGTGAGGAGCTTTCATGTGTTTCCCCGTTTTTGGCCTGGGAAACCAAGCGGGAGTATGTCGTCGCCGCGGCTCAGAAGACATGGTGAGGCAGCCCGGTACACACCCTTGGGCGTCCCAGTTCCAGCTGGCTGGTTGTGTAGGCAACCTCCACTCAATTTACCCGACTGTGGGGTCATGCTAATTACCAGACGAAATGCCACGGAGGATAAGCGAACGAATCGCAACCGAGCCATACCAAAGGACCTAAACTTCCAGCTATCTTCATCCACTTCGCACTCCGGCGTTTTTTTCGTCCAGCGGTTCAGCCTGTGGAACCCGTTGAATCATGGGCGAGGAGGCCGGCAGAACTGTTGGCCATGTGTCTGTCAGAGAAATGTGGGCGTGGATTTCAACTGGGGAGCCATTGCTGGCATTGGATACTTATGTTCACCATGTGTGGCTTTGGGTCAAGCACACTCAAGTTTGCCATTGCCATCGGCTGCAAAAGTGTCCGCAGTACGGACAACAAAAATCCGCACTGATGGAGCCTGGGCTCAGGGGAAGAAGGATCTTGTAATGAAGGCCTTTGCTTTGGTGTTCCTTAATTCAGGTGGGTTCAAAAGATAATCACTAGACCCTAGGGCTGTTTTTCTCTTTTCCAACCCCAGGTATGCATGTGTGTTGGACTCTTGGGATCCGTTAAAATGTCACAGTATTAAAATAACGCATATGTGGGTGTGGCTCCAAATTAAATAGGAGGGGCAACAAAAACAACGCAGGAAATGGGCCACCATGTTTCCACTTAGAGCAACCCATGCTGGAGTTCCGGTTTTTTGAGCAACTTGAGAGGGATGAACATTCCGAACCCCGAACCCCCCCTCGACCGTTTCTTCGCAAAAGCTGGGAACTAAATATCAGGGCTCCAGGCTCGGAAGTTTTCTGGGGGTTTTCTCCGGCTTCCATGACCTTCGGGAGGCGGAAATTGGGGGGGTCTGGGGGGGTCTTTCTGTCGGGTACCCGTTCTTTCTGGTTTTGGGTGGATTGAAATGGGAGCCAAGACAAAAACCGAAGCCATTTTGGTCGTTGGGGGGCGTCCAACCTAAGAAAAAGCGCACTTGCAGAAAACCCTGGTGTTTGCGGTGTTTTAGCAAGACTGGCAGCTAAAAGTCACATCGCCAAGGGCGCCTCTGGCTGAAAAAAGACACCCATACAAAGATTTGGTTCCCTTGGCAGGCGTCGGCGTCGACGCCGGCAGAACCACCGGTAGAACCACCGGCAGCACCGCCGACGGTCAGGGGCTAAGAAGGGTGTTCCGCGCGGCACGGTACTTTTCTGTGACGTTGATATTTATTTGGCTGCTCCTTTCAGGGGTCGTCAAAGTCAGAAACTGGGCTGGTTTCAGTTTCCCTTTAACCCACTTAGGGGGTGACTTTGATGGTGGTAAACAGATGGGTTACTCCCCGACAAATTTCACTAACATGGAACTCAACGGCAGATTCTCCCCCCCTAACAATTGACATATTTCAAGGGCTACCCCCCCAAAAAAAGAAATCAGTTGCAATTTTTGGGGTCCCCCACCTCCCCCCGCGTAAGAGGGTAGAGTATGTATAATGTGTCGCGGGACCCTTTCCTGCATATTTAGCACAATTTCAGGCCCAATGCTGCTTAAATAAATCTTTTAAATCTTTTAAATATTGTAAATATTGTAAATCCCCGGGTCCTGATTTCTGGAGCTGGGGCCGATTTAAAATTTTAAATATTTTGAATATTTTAAATCCCCGGGTCCCTGAATTAGAATATTTAAACTATTTAAGCTTATTTGAGGCCTAAATATTTTAAATATTGTACATCCCCGGGTCCTGATTTCTGGAGCTGGGGCCGATTTAAAATTTTAAATAGTTTAAATATTTTAAATATTTTAAATGTTTTAAATCCCCGGGCCCCCGATTTAAAATATTTGAATTATTTAAACTGATTTGGGGCCCATATATTTTAAATAATTTAAATCACCGGGCCCCCGATTTAAAATATATAAAATATTTAAGCTGATTTGGGGCTCAAATATTCTAAATATTTTATATATTTTAACTCCCCGGGTCCTGATTTCTGGAGCTGGGGCCGATTTAAAATTTTATATAGTTTAAATATTTTAATATTTGAAATATTTTAAATCCCCGGGCCCCCGATTTAAAATATTTAAAGTATTTGAACTGATTTGGGGCCTAAATATTTTAAATATTTTAAATATTTTAAATCCCCGGGCCCCGATTTAAACTATTTTATTTTTTTTTAAGATGATTTGGGGCCTAAATATTTTAAATATTGAATCGGGCTCAGATCCTGGGTTCCCGGGAATTGAAATATTTAAATTTTTTAAGCTGATTTGGGGCCTAAATATTCTAAATATTTTAAATATGTTAAATCCCCGAGCCCCGATTTAAAATATTTAAAAGATTTAATCTGATTTGGGGCCTAAATATTTTAAATATTTTAAATATTTTAAATCCCCGGGTCCTGATTTCTGGAGCTGGGACCGATTTAAAATTTTAAACAATTTACATAAAATCAATTGTTTTAAATATTTTAAATCCCCGGGCCCCCGATTTTAAATAATTGAAATATTTAAACTGATTTGGGGCACACACATTTTAAATATTTTAATTTTTTTAAATCGGGGCCCGGGGATTTAAAATATTTAAAGTATTTAAGCTGATTTGGGGCCCAAATATTCTAAATATTTTCAATATTTTAAATCCCCGGGTCCTGGTTTCTGGAGCTGGGGCCGATTTAGAATTTTACATAATTTAAATATTTTAAATATTTGAAATATGTTAAATCCCCGGGCCCCCGATTTAAAATATTTCAACTTTAATATGCTGATTTGGGGCCCAAATATTCTAAATATTTTAAATATTGTAAATCCCCGGGTCCTGATTTCTGGAGCTGGGGCCGATTTAAAATTTTAAATAATTTAAATAGTTTAAATATTTTAAATCCCCGCGCCCCCGATTTAAAATATTTAAAATATTTGAACTGATTTGTGGCCTAAATATTTTAAATATTGTAAATATTTAAAATCCCCGGGCCCCGATTTAAAATATTTAAAATATTTAATCTGATTTGGGGCCTAAATATTTTGAATATTTTAGATATTTTAAATCCCCGGGCCCCGATTTAAAATATTTAAAAGATTTAATCTGATTTGGGGCCTAAATATTTTAAATACTTTAAATAGTTTAAATCCCCGGGTCCTGATTTCTGGAGCTGGGGCCGATTTAACATTTTAAATATTTTATATATTTGAAATATTTTAAATGTTTTAAATCCCCGGGCCCCCGATTTAAAATATTTGAAGTATTTAAACTGATTTGGGGCCTAAGTATTCTAAATATTTTAAATAGTTTAAATCCCCGTGCCCCGATTTAAAATATTTAAAATTAATAAGCTGATTTGGGGCCTAAAAAATTTAAATATTTTAAATATTTTATATTCCCGGGTCCTGATTTCTGGAGCTGGGGCCGATTTAGAATTTTAAGTAATTTGAATATTTTAAGTATTTGAAATATTTTAAATCCCCGGGCCCCCGATTTAAAATATTTAAAATATTCAAACTGATTTGGGGCCTAAATATCTTAAATATTTTATATATTTTAAATCCCCGGGCCCCGATTTAAAATATTTAAAGTATTTAAGCTGATTTGGGGACTAAATATTTTAAATCCCCGGGCCCCGATTTAAAATATTTAAGATATTTAAAATTATTAAAATATTTAACATGTTAAATCGGGCTCAGATCCTGGGTTCCTGGGATTTGAAATATTTAACATATTTAAGCTGATTTGGGGCCTAAATATTCTATATATTTTAAATATTTTAAATCCCCGGGCCCCGATTTAAAATATTTAAAATATTTAGGCTGATTTGAGGCCTAAATATTTTAAATATTTTAAATCCCCGGGCCCCGATTTAAAATATTTAAAATATTTAAACTGATTTGGGGCCTGAATATTTTTAATATTTTAAATATTTTAAATCCCCGGGCCCCGATTTAAAATATTTAAAATATTTGAACTGATTTGGGGCCTAAATATTTTAAATATTGTAAATATTTCAAATCCCCGGGCCCCGATTTAAAATATTTAAAATATTTAAACTGATTTGGGGCCTAAATATTTCAATTATTTTAAATATTTTAAATCCCCGGGTCCTGATTTCTGGAGCTGGGGCCGATTTAAAATTTGAAATAATTTAAATATTTTAAATATTTCAAATCCCCGGGCCCCCGATTTAAAATATTTAAAATATTTCAACTGATTTGGGGCCTAAATATTTTAAATATTTCAATTATTTTAAATCCCCGGGCCCCGATTTAAAATATTTTAAATAGTTAAGCTGATTTGGGGCCTAAATATTTTAAATAGTTTAAATATTTAAATCCCATGGCCCCGATTTAAAATATTTAAACCATTTAAAATAATTAAAATGTTTAAAATTTTAAATCGGGCTCAGATCCTGGGTTCCCGGGATTTGAAATATTTAAAATATTTAAGCTGATTTGGGGCCTAAATATTCTAAATATTTTAAATATTTTAAATCCCCGGGCCCCGATTTAAAATATCTAAAATATTTAATCTGATTTGGGGCCTAAATATTTCAATTATTTTAAATATTTTAAATCCCCGGGTCCTGATTTCTGGAGCTGGGGCCGATTTAAAATTTTAAATAATTTAAATATTTTAAATCCCCGGGCCCCCGATTTAAAATATTTGAATTTTTTACACTGATTTGGGGCCTAAATATTCTAAATATTTTAAATATTTTAAATCCCCGGGTCCTGATTTCTGGAGCTGGGGCCGATTTAGAATTTTAAATAATTTAAATATTTTAAATCCCCGGGCCCCGATTTAAAATATTTAAAATTAATAAGCTGATTTGGGGCCCAAATATTCTATATATTTTAAATATTTTAAATCCCCGGGTCCTGATTTCTGGAGCTGGGGCCGATTTAGAATTTTACATAATTTAAATATTTTAAATATTTGAAATATGTTAAATCCCCGGGCCCCCGATTTAAAATATTTAAAGTATTTAAACTGATTGGGGCCTAAATATTTTGAATATTTTAACTCCCTGGGCCCCGATTTAAAATATTTAAAATATTTAGGCTGATTTGAGGCCTAAATATTTGAAATATTTTACATATTTTAAATCCCCGGGCCCCGATTTAAAATATCTAAAATATTTAAAATGATTTAAATATTTAACATTTTAAATCGGGCTCAGATCCTGGGTTCCCGGGATTTGAAATATTTAAAATATTTAAGCTGATTTGGGGCCTAAATATTCTAAATATTTTAAATATTTTAAATCCCGGGCCCCGATTTAAAATATTTAAACTATTTAATCTGATTCGGGGCCTAAATATTTTATATATGTTAAATATGTTCAATCCGCGGGTCCTGATTTCTGGAGCTGGGGCCGATTTTTTTTTAAAATAAATATTTTACATATTTGAAATATTTTAAATCCCCGGGCCCCCGATTTAAAATAATTGAAATATTTAAACTGATTTGGGGCCCAAATATTTTAAATATTTTAAATAATTTAAATCCCCGGGCCCCCAATTTAAAATATTTAAAATTAATAAGCTGATTTGGGGCCCAAATATTCTAAATATTTTAAATATTTTAAATCCCCGGGTCCTGGTTTCTGGAGCTGGGGCCGATTTAGAATTGTAAATAATTTAAATGGTTTAAATACTTTAAATATTTTAAATCCCCGGGCCCCCGATTTCAAATATTTAACATATTTAAACTGATTTGGGGCCTAAATATTTTAAATATTTTCAATATTTTAATTCCCCGGGCCCCGATTTAAAATATTTAAAATATTTAAGCTGATTTGGGGCCTAAATATTTCAATTATTTTAAATATTTTAAATCCCCGGGCCCCGATCTAAAATATTCAAAATATTCAATATAATTACAATATTTAACATTTTGAATCGGGCTCAGATCATGGGTTCCCGGGATTTACAAGATTTCAATTATTTAAACTGATTTGGGGCCCATATATTTTAAATATTTCAACTATTATAAATCCCCGGGCCCCCGATTTAAAATATTTGAAATATTTAAACTGGTTTGGGGCCCAAATATTTTAAATATTTTAAATATTTTAAATCACCGGGCCCCGATTTAAAATATTTATAATTAATAAGCTGATTTGGGGCCTAAATATTTTAAATATTTTCAATAATTTAAATCCCCGGGACCCGATTTAAAATATCT